GCTATCCGGCGGCCGATCGGGGCGTGGCATGTCTCTCCGTGATCTGGAGGGTCCTGCCAATCGACTGCCATGGGAAAAAAGGACATACTGGTTTTTCCTATAGGCTATAATTCTGATTCCATTCCCTTGATTGCCATAGTCAAAGTCCTTGTTGTCGATGGCCAGATTTTGATGCCGTTCGACAGTCTGGATCCTCACAGTCCTGGGAGGGTTGGTCCTGCGTCGATCTGGCCGTATTTTTCTGAGATATGGCCTTTCGAAGATATGGAGTGGCTCATCCGTAGGATACTGGGTTTTCCTGAAGCCATAATTCTGCTATCCGGCGGCCTATCGGGGCGTGGCATGTCTCTCCGTGATCGGGAGAGTCCTGCCAATCGACTGCCATCGGAAAAAAGGACATCAATTTTTTCCCGATTTTCGCAAAAAATCATGATGGTTACATCATTAAATTTGCCAAAAATCGACATCATTTTCAAAGTCGAGATTTTGATGCCGTTCGACAGTCTGGATCCTCACAGTCCTGGGAGAGTTGGTCCTGCGTCGATCTGGCCGTATTTTTCTGAGATATGGCCTTTCGAAGATTTGGATTTGCTCATCCGTAGAATACTGGGTTTTCCTGTAGGCTATAATTCTGATTCCATTCCCTTGATTGCCATAGTCAAAGTCCTTGTTGTCGATGGCCAGATTTTGATGCCGTTCGACAGTCTGGATCCTCACAGTCCTGGGAGGGTTGGTCCTGCGGCGATCTGGCCGTATTTACCCTAGATATGGCCTTTCGAAGATTTGGATTGGCTCATCCGTAGAATACTGGGTTTTCCTGTAGGCTATAATTCTGCTATCCGGCGGCCGATCGGGGCGTGGCATGTCTCTCTGTGATCGGGGGGGTCCTGCCAATCGACTGCCATCGGAAAAAAGGACATCAATTTTTTCCCGATTTTCGCAAAAAATCATGATGGTTACATCATTAAATTTGCCAAAAATCGACATCATTTTCAAAGTCGAGATTTTGATGCCGTTCGACAGTCTGGATCCTCACAGTCCTGGGAGGGTTGGTCCTGCGTCGATCTGGCCGTATTTACCCTAGATATGGCCTTTCGAAGATTTGGATTGGCTCATCCGTAGAATACTGGGTTTTCCTGAAGCCATAATTCTGCTATCCGGCGGCCGATCGGGGCGTGGCATGTCTCTCTGTGATCGGGGGGGTCCTGCCAATCGACTGCCATCGGAAAAAAGGACATCAATTTTTTCCCGATTTTCGCAAAAAATCATGATGGTTTTTCCTGTAGGCTATAATTCTGATTCCATTCCCTTGATTGCCATAGTCAAAGTCCTTGTTGTCGATGGCCAGATTTTGATGCCGTTCGACAGTCTGGATCCTCACAGTCCTGGGAGAGTTGGTCCTGCGTCGATCTGGCCGTATTTTTCTGAGATATGGCCTTTCGAAGATTTGGATTTGCTCATCCGTAGAATACTGGGTTTTCCTGTAGGCTATAATTCTGATTCCATTCCCTTGATTGCCATAGTCAAAGTCCTTGTTGTCGATGGCCAGATTTTGATGCCGTTCGACAGTCTGGATCCTCACAGTCCTGGGAGAGTTGGTCCTGCGTCGATCTGGCCGTATTTTTCTGAGATATGGCCTTTCGAAGATTTGGATTTGCTCATCCGTAGAATACTGGGTTTTCCTGTAGGCTATAATTCTGATTCCATTCCCTTGATTGCCATAGTCAAAGTCCTTGTTGTCGATGGCCAGATTTTGATGCCGTTCGACAGTCTGGATCCTCACAATCCTGGGAGAGTTGGTCCTGCGTCGATCTGGCCGTATTTTTCTGAGATATGGCCTTTCGAAGATTTGGATTTGCTCATCCGTAGAATACTGGGTTTTCCTGTAGGCTATAATTCTGATTCCATTCCCTTGATTGCCATAGTCAAAGTCCTTGTTGTCGATGGCCAGATTTTGATGCCGTTCGACAGTCTGGATCCTCACAGTCCTGGGAGAGTTGGTCCTGCGTCGATCTGGCCGTATTTTTCTGAGATATGGCCTTTCGAAGATTTGGATTTGCTCATCCGTAGAATACTGGGTTTTCCTGTAGGCTATAATTCTGATTCCATTCCCTTGATTGCCATAGTCAAAGTCCTTGTTGTCGATGGCCAGATTTTGATGCCGTTCGACAGTCTGGATCCTCACAGTCCTGGGAGGGTTGGTCCTGCGGCGATCTGGCCGTATTTACCCTAGATATGGCCTTTCGAAGATTTGGAGTGGCTCATCCGTAGAATACTGGGTTTTCCTGTAGGCTATAATTCTGCTATCCGGCGGCCGATCGGGGCGTGGCATGTCTCTCCGCGATCGGGAGAGTCCTGCCAATCGACTGCCATCGGAAAAAAGGACATCAATTTTTTCCCGATTTTCGCAAAAAATCATGATGGTTACATCATTAAATTTGCCAAAAATCGACATCATTTTCAAAGTCGAGATTTTGATGCCGTTCGACAGTCTGGATCCTCACAGTCCTGGGAGGGTTGGTCCTGCGTCGATCTGGCCGTATTTACCCTAGATATGGCCTTTCGAAGATTTGGATTGGCTCATCCGTAGAATACTGGGTTTTCCTGAAGCCATAATTCTGCTATCCGGCGGCCGATCGGGGCGTGGCATGTCTCTCTGTGATCGGGGGGGTCCTGCCAATCGACTGCCATCGGAAAAAAGGACATCAATTTTTTCCCGATTTTCGCAAAAAATCATGATGGTTACATCATTAAATTTGCCAAAAATCGACATCATTTTCAAAGTCGAGATTTTGATGCCGTTCGACAGTCTGGATCCTCACAGTCCTGGGAGGGTTGGTCCTGCGTCGATCTGGCCGTATTTACCCTAGATATGGCCTTTCGAAGATTTGGATTTGCTCATCCGTAGAATACTGGTTTTTTCTGTACTATCTAAATGAATGGACGCGTATATCCTTTAACCTAACAACATCGAGATCTATCTAGAGTCTAGTAGCCCGAGTTGCCCCACCCTTGGTCTTCATAGTGAAAGTCCCTGTTGGCGATGGCGAAGTCGAAGAATGATAATGGGGCAAGGGGGCGATTCGGTCCTGCTGGGTTACGATTCCTTCTGGCGGAGGGGAAATCCTATTCGACTGAGTTTGTGGCGAAGTGTTAAGTACACTTAAGTACACTCATCTGTAAAGGAGATATATTTCAAAATATATCTACAATTATATCCTGATTCACTAAAACGTCTCGAAACTGAAGCCCGGCATTATTTACCGTAGGTGTGAACCAACGATTCCGCCGTCGATCAGTGGTCCCTGCTGCAGCGGACGGGACACCACATTGTCGACTCAGCGACACAGCATCATGGTTATGAAATATGCTCTCAGAAGGAATAAACATTCGTTGTCTTGGGTTCTCCTTTCAACAGGGTTCCCAGGGTCTTCGGCTCTGGCCAGCCAGCCCAGCAACGCTTTGCACGTGTTAGTATAATTCAATACATATATAGCATAGTTAGGATACAATGCTGTACTGTTTTTGGTAATAAACGTAGCGCCGCTGCACGTGTGCCGTTGCTCTTTAGCAGCGACGTACAACGTCTCGACTGGTTTCCCTATTCATTTCAGCGCACTGTGAAACGCAACGCCCCTTTTTCTATTTACTTGATTATTGTCAACAGCCGCTCAAACGCATTCGAGACTCCGCTAAAGGTCGTTTAACAAAGATGCTGTAAAAGTGTCAATAGTCTGCATATTTTTTTTTTTGCTCAATGCAGCAGTACAAAAGTCAAGCATCAAAAATTGTCGAGCCAAGCCAATGCATTCAAATGGCATTTGAAGGGGTATGCAGACGCAGTTTGGCATTTGTTTGCATTTCATGCATTGACCGTAGGACGTTCGGACAGGGCCTAAATGGCCGCAAAGCCAGTCTCTTGCGGAGTGTGGCGTGTGGTGTGGCAGGCAACGCCTATTACATAAACTGTTTGCTTTGTACTAGTACTGTACTGTACTCTAGTGCGTTTGCTTTATGCTTGGGTAATTAAACAAAATGTATGTCCATAGGGTAATGCCGTGTGTATTTGTTAATTAGACTGGCTGTCGTTAAAGGGGGCGTGTGTGGCATTTATTTAGCCCCGCCGCCTACCATGGGTTATGCAAATAAATATATATACTACGTACATAAGAAACATAAGAAAAGCATGTACGTCGGGGTTCACTGAGTATCATAATATTGTATGTCGCGGTGCTTAAGTGCAAGGAGATATTTATGGTAATTATGGGGTGCAATGAACCTCAGACATTTGGCGACAAATCGGCTTGAATGGGTTTTCTATGAGGTATGTACTCGTATTTTAGATATCGAAGAGATACGCAACTTGTTGCAATTTCTAATCAATATTCCTATTCAATATTCAATATTCATCTGCCACCTATATCCACTGTAGTTTTCTTGGCTTAGCCTCATTTAGCTTTTCCATCCTGTGTTTTGCATTCATCACAAAAGATGATCCGATTATGAAAAGCCCCCAAACAGCCCCAGAGTCACCTTTCACAATGCCACAAAAATGTGCCAAAAAACAATAAACAAAAACAAAAAATAATGTAAAGACAAATTATGAAAGACCCCAGAAGGCAAGAGCCAGGCTCAGGCCCAGACGCAGACGCAGGCCAAGTACACCAATTTGAGTCAGAGATGACGTTAATGGAGCAGAAGCCAACAGCCGGTCTCCGTCTCAGTTTCAGTTTCAGCCTCAAACGCAGCTCAATGGAGCTCAAGCGAGGAGGCCAGACCCCACCAGACCAGACAAAGAGCGTGCGCATGCGCGGCCACAAGAGTAACGTTACGTGATTTACTCCAAAACTCTGGCTGGAGACGGAGACGAGACTGATTCGAAGACTGATGGGTAGGGAGGGGGGAGTTGGCGCGCGTGTGGCATGCCGGAGACACTCACCTCACTCTCCATTTCAGTTGCGGCCCAGACGCGCATCGGGTAGGTTGTCAACGCGTTGCGCACTCGAACAGAAAGAAATCGAACAGAGCGAAATACGTTAGTTTTAATTATGCCATTCGTATGTGCTATGTGTGTTGTTTTTAAGCCAAACAAATGGAAAGAAAACCTAAATTGAAACAGAAATTACACTGCCAAAAATAGCAATAGCAGAGCTTTCCATTAAAGTAACTTTCATTTTTATATGCAACAATATATAAAATATTTCTGAACTGAACTGAGCTGAGCAATGTTTGCCCTGCTTATTAGCAGCAATTTGAGCCCCATCGGAATGGAGTGTAAACTGTAAAGTGTAAATGAAGTTTACAGCGACCGAAAGAAGCCGCAAATCAATCAAAACCGATCAAAACCGAAATAAGACAAGGCCAAGTGCCTTGCCAAGTAATAAATAAAAGCAAAATATATTGTAGTAGAAACAAAACCCATAGACAAGGCGAGCTACGTTGCGGGCCAAGCCGAAAAAAAACCTTAACAAAATTGTATACGAAGCTCATTGAACAAAAGTGAGAGTGATTTCCAAACAGACCGACCGACTGCTGTTGTTGTGGATTTTTGTATTTACCGCCACTCGCACACATTCACATGCAACACATGCATATGCATGAGTATCTGTGTTTGCATATCACAAATCGGAATCGAAATCTCGCAAACAAACGGCCAAAACCTGGCAACATATTTGAAATATTTGTAGAAATGACGCACCTGCTACGGGGCAACGGCAACTGACCAACCTCAAGACATGGCTTAGAGCCATTTCGGGTCTGAGTGTTGCGCAAACGTCGTTGCTGCAGCGAAAATTCTGTAAAACGCAACACCACACCACTTTTTGTGGCATGAAGTAATCGTTGATGTGTTGTGTGCTGTGTATCTTTGCAGGTTACTCGTACTTTTTGGTGCTTTGGCAATCTAGTTGGTTCACCACAATCTAAATGCTGGCAACCAGCTGGCCAAGTCTGACTGCTGATCATGTTTTGGCCAAAACATTACCCGGGCTGTGCTAGCCTTTGGCTGCCGCTGCTCCTCAGCCTGCTCTACAGTAAGTAAACGTAACCCAAAATCGGTATATTCCAATGGATTAGATTGGAGCTACCGCAGACTCAGAGCCCAGCTCTATAACCGGTTTGACGACCGCATCTAAGCCATTGACAGTCGTCTCTCTCTGTTGGAGCTTGGTTTGGATCCGAAGCAGACTTTGGCCTGGTCAGGCCAGGCACCCAAGTGGTTGCCGGTCTTTGTGTCAAGGTCGCTGGATCAGCGATGTATGTTGTGGATAGTCGGAGATAGTCATAGTCCGGGCTCATTGTTTTTTCCTCACATAAGTTTTTGCTTTAAGTTTTATGAGAATGCGTAGAATGGTGCAAAGTCTGTGATATGTTCTTGATTGCACAGATTAAAGACCAAAGTACTTATGGATAGTCATTAAGTAAATTAAAGTTCAAAGTAAAGGAGCGTTCACTCTTAAGGGTATAAAGTGGGAAGTGATAAATACGCAGTAGATTTAATTGAATTAGAGTATGACTCAAAGAAACATCAACTTATCTTCTTATATGACCTTCAAAAGTCAGATTTAACTGCCAAAAACTTCAGGCATGGCATCCGCTTTGTTACCCGTTAAATCAGTCATCTGTAAATCTGAAAACCAAAGCCCAACCTCCATAAAAAGGTTATATAAGCAACAGGCCTACAGTTAAGTGCTGGGCTTGGCTTGGCAAACTGGTCTAGAGATCTCTCTCTTACTCTGTATCTCTGTGTATGACACAAAAAATCAACTAAAATATACCAATTTTATTTCGTTACAGCACAAAACGCATCCACTTTCATTGTGCCACAGGAACTACCAACCATATTATCCCTAGTTTTCTCCAACATACCACCGATTAAAAAAGGTACGATTCAAGACAGAAGATATGTACATACATGTAAATGATTAAAGTATCGTTAACACAGGAACCGATTCACGTCTTGGCTTTGGCTTTCGTTTGGGCGAACATGCCGATTTCCAAGTGCTCGTCGAGCTGGGGCCCCAGAAGGAGACGAAACCCATTGGGGAGCCCAGCAAGGATGATCAATCGTTCAACAAACGCCAGGTGAGCCCCACCGAGCAGAAGGCCCTGCTGCGACAGCAGTACCGACAGCAACTGAAGGAAGAGGCCGAGAGATTGATGACCTCTACGGAGCGAAATGGGGCCACCTGGCTGGAGAGCTGGTCGAACGGCATGAAACCGCAAAAGCCCAAGGCGAAGGGTAGTACAAGGCGTCCGATCGAAGAAAGCCAGGCCCCCAACCTGCCGCTGCAGCCACAAGTTCAAGAGAATGCCATGCAACAGCTGCAGCAGCTCTACAAGATGGCCAGTACCAGCAGTACGAGTAGCACCACTGCGGCTCCTCCGCCCTATGCAGGTGGTCCTCTCAATTTAGGTGGCCCCAGTGGGTTCAAGCTGCCACCGCCAGCCCTCGAGCAGGAGTCCAACGCCCTGAGTAATATTGGTCCTGCGAGGAGCAAGAGCGAAATCACAAAGGAGCTAATGGATGTCAGCCTGGAGACAGCGGAGGCTTAGGTTGTGCCATTTTCTAGTTACTAATTGATTACATTACTTAGCAATTTTCTTGTAAATAAAAACAAATCTAAACAAAATCATGCAGAATTTACCTGCCATCCAAGCCAATTTAATCAGGGTAATGTCTCTCAAAAATAGGTCCACATAAACATCGATGGGCAATATCCCTATTGCCCGTGTAGCCAAGTCGAGATTTCCCACATCGGTGACAATATAACTTATCAACTTATCACTTATAATAAACTTATCACACCTGATCCTCACTTTTAAACATCGCGCCTACTTTCTACTTGTATCTAAGACTGTACATGGTATCTACACCATTTTTACATGTACAGCAATGCAATTTTGTAGTCCAGGAAGTGACCGCTGGCATGGTGGCGCCATGTATACTTGTATGTTATGTCATGTAGTTAGTTATTACTTTACATACATATTTGATTTCTCATAAAACCGGCTTCTGCTAATGATTTAGCACCGATGATTTAGCGAAAGATTCTAGCCAAATATAGATAATATGAGAGATAAATGGCAATTTTTGTATTATACCCATAATGTATATTAGCCGAGGCGATCTATTCATATTATATCTTTACGTACTATATGTATTCCATGATCTAGACCAATTTTCTACCAAATCTTCGGTAACTTTTACGCGCTTTTGGTTCGCATTTCCGTATAGCTATATACAGATATACCAAAATTTAGCACTATCAGTAATACAGTAAAGAGAATTATAAAGGATCATGATAGCCAATATCGGATTGATGTTATAATGTACCACAGCGGACTTACTTTGACTTTTGGTTGTTAAGCTTTATTATTAACTTATAAAATTTTTAAATTAATTACATAAATTATCGAAATCGAGTATAGTACAGATGACACATTCATTGTTCACTCAACTTAGAGCTACACTAACTGCAAACTGCATCTGCCAATTGCAAACTGCGTATCTGTATGTATTGTACTCGTATTTAGCTACTAGCATAAGTATTCTGTTCATCTAAGCTAAACAAGATTTAGGACTACATTATAAATTAGACAAAGCATTTCGTGCCCTATCGGGGCAGGGCACTCCATGGACATAAAGAATACTATAAATCATTTAGACTACACATACATTTATATTTATATTAATTTATAGACATACTAGTACATAGAAAAGAAGTAGCTAGCGGACTTCACAGCTAACATATGGGGATGCCGCCCGCCTGCCTGCCTGCCTGTTGAAGGAGCTCCTCTAAAGTAAATATTACTTATCATTATAGTCAATTTCCATTAAGCAGACATGTGTGAATGGTGTGTGGAAGGGTTGTTTGTGAGAGGATTGTATGTATAAAGAAAGTATTTATAAAAGTAATGTCTTTCGTATCATGTTTTTTCCGTTTTCAGTGCTCCAATGTGCTCCATCTGCCCGAGGTTTGGTTTTGACTAAGAAATAATCATAAATCTCAAAGGTGCAGTAGAAACTACTATAACTTGTGCGGATGGAGGTGTGGTGGTGGTGGTGGGATGCTCAAATTTAGAATTTTTCAAGTTTCCGTTTCTTCAAGATTTACTTCTCGCTCTTGAGTGGCACACCCTCCTCCTGGGTGACATCGCTGATCTTCTTGCGCTCTGGTGGATTATTCCAGGGCTGCAGCTCACCGGAGCCCAGGACGACAAACACCACGGCTGCAGAGATATAGGTGGCCGCCAGTATCCAGAACACAATTTGCCATTGATGGAAGGATTTCTGTTTTTGGGGGATATTCAATTAGTAAACCTAGATCTAGATCCTTAAGAGGAGTTATTTTCTCCACTCACATCATGATAGGTCAGGGCTCCCACCATCCACGTGGACAGGAAACCGCCAAACGAAGACAGTGTATTGGCCAAGCCGAAGATGGTTCCGCCAAAGTTTGGCGCAATATCCAGACCATTGCCCAAATAGCCAGCCGTGACAGCTCCATGGGCAAACAGGGCCAGCGAGAAGATCGTCACAGACCAGGTGGCATCGTAGCCCAGGAAGACTTGCACAATCATCAGCAGACCAGGAGTGACCAGAGCTTTAATCAAAGATTTAGAGTTAGTAAACATTCAGACAAAGGACTTGGCTCAAGGACTCACCAAATGTTGTAAAGAGCTTCCTTGTGGCTGTCGTGCTCAGGGTGCCCTTCTTACGCAGGTAATCGGCCAGGTATGATGAGGCCACTGCCATCACATACTTTCCCAGATAGGGGAGCGAGGAGAAGAGACCGTTCTGCAAAAGATACAAAAGAACCATTTAGCATTCGTGTTGTGGCGCTCCCCCCTTTGATAAACCCACCTGCTTGATGTCAAAGTGCAGGATCTGAGACATGAACGTGGGCAGCTGATTGACAACCGTGAAGAAACCAAAGACGGCCAGACCGTGGCAGCTGATGATGGCCCAAACGGCGGGCGAACAGAGCAGCTGGCCCCAGGGCACGTGGCTGGGACGCTTCTTGGAGGTGGATGTGCCGATGGCATCCTCGATCTCGCGTCGCTCCTCGGCGCTGATGCGTGGATGGGTGGCGGGGGTCTCGTAGACAAAGGTGAACCAGCACAGGGACCAAACCAGACCCACGGCTCCCGTCAAATAGAAGACACTGGCCCAGCCAGCGACGGAGATGAGGTAGCCACAGACAGGCATGGTAATGGCCGCTCCCAGCGAGGAAGCTACAAGAAGAAGGCAGAATAGTTAGCATGGATTCGATGGATTCGGTTGGGTGGTGGATGGACTTACCCATCATATTGGACATGAACTTGGATCGCTCCATGGGTGGTATCCAGACAGCTGCCACCGGATGAATGGCCGGCCAGGAGGCGCCCAACATGAAGCCGAGCACGACACGGACTATGATCAGGACCACGTAGTTGATGTGCGCCGCCAGCGGCGTGATCAAGGTCAACAGACTGGCCCACAGCATGGAATGTCCAAAGACGCGTACACCGCCGATCAGTTCGGCCAGACGGCCGCCGGGCAGCTCCGTGAGGATGTATCCCCAGAAGAAGGAGCCCAGCACGAAGTTGGTCTGGTAGGAATCCCATGGGAAACGCTCCTCAAATACCTCCACACCGTCGGGACTGGAACTGGAACTGTTGCCGGCAGTGGCGTTACCCGTCAGGGTGCTATTGATGAATTCGCTGGCGTTTGGCCGCACCATATCCACGATGGCTATGGTGAGGTTCACTCTCAGGGCATAGTTCAGCATAAAGCCGAGCATGGTCAGCAGATTGAGTACTTGGCGACATGATAGATACTCTGAAAGGAAGAGCAGAATATATTAGATTTTGTATGAAATCATTCGGAGGTTCCCATATACTATAGCGATTGCGGGCAGTCACCTCATGGCGGCTTGGCTTGTGCGAGTACATAAATAATTCTAATGCTCATTGTCTAGGTCGTCGAAAGGTTAGGTGCTTAAAATTCGCGTGGAATATTCCCAGAGCTTCGAAAACAGGCGACCGGAGTCTCTGATAACGATACATTATTTAATTACTTTTGAAACGAAAGTTCTAGGGAATTCTTTAGAACGATCATATAGGTCAAAATTAATGTTCAATCTTCAGTTCCAAGAATGGTAGATGAAAACGGGGACTCTGAGAATCCAAAAGATCTACCTTGTGACCATTTGATCCGTTACTAAATTGAATATCGATTCGATCTGGCTATAGCCAACTGAACGAACTCATCCTATCACTAAAATGGTGTTCTGCCATTTCGTTTATCATTCGTTAGTTTAGTTATTGGATATGCAAAATCACAGCCTAACCTTATCAGCTCGCTTCCTCTCCATTACAATATCTGATGTAACCCGTTGTTTTCATTACACGATCCACATCTCAGATAAACACATTAATTACATTACCCATGTTAATGAGCCAATAAAACCCAATGACAATAAACTGTCAATGATGTGACCTCAATAGCATACCGTATTGCACATGAATTTGATTTGAGGATCGAAACGGATCCCTGGGTGTGGGTGCAGCAGCTACATGAGAGACCAATGGACCTGGACTGTCAGTCGCCTGATACAGCTCTGGGCCACAAACAAAAAAACACAAACACAAACATGATGATCATTCTGTGGCCATTAAGCTGCCCCGACTCCCCAGCTCTGAGACTGGCTGTCATCTCGACTTGCGTTTTTGTGGACTGTCATTGGGATCTTCGGATCTTGGCTCTTGGGCGGTTATTAAGTGGCAAAGTGCATTGTTCGGGCAGGGCAAATGCACACAAATCTCGAATACGAATGCCGTTGAACTTCGATGAACCCCAACTTCAATTCGCGATCTTTGGGCCCGAGCGTGTATATAAATGTATACTCTTAAGCTGTCCGCTTATTAAGTAGTGCCAGTGCCAGTGCCAGGCAGGGCAGGGGATCTGGCAGGGGAAGATAAACTTGCTCAGCTGCACTCCAAACCACTTTCCCATCATCCATAGTTATCAGGTGGAGGAAACGCTATATGTATGTACTATTATCGGCGCCAGTCTATCGCCTGTCTGGTTGGAACACGCCCACCTCATTGATTATTGCCCCAATATCATGTTAATGTCATGCAAAATAGCTTCGGCTCGTCTAGACATGCCATCGACACGTCGACTGGCTGCTAAGCGGCACTCAACTTCTATTCAAATTAGCACTCAGCACAGCCGAAACCGAATCCGAGTCCGAAACCGAATCATCAAAAAGCGCACACACAAAAATCATTAAAAAATAAAATAAAATCACTAAAAATAGCTAGTCATGTTTGTTATAAATTTTCGATCCCATATAACCAGAAAAACGTGCCCGAAATACACTTCAGAGGAAGCTACCAAAAACTGCAAGGTTTCTTCTTAGACCTGTTTCGCTCGCCAGATCAAGAGAGCAGATCGGTTCAAATCGGTTCGGTAGGGTACCAGAGCTATAGCAAATTGTGGATAATGGATAATCAGAAGATCTGTGATTAGCATTTGACTGTATAGTACGTCAGTGGGAAAGTTTAGATCATTAAGAGATATCACTCTGTTAATTTCTGAGACATGTATTGACACCTGACACAGTGTCTCGAATCAATGCTAATTGCAACGATCGATAATCTCGCTTCTGGACGCATATATGTCTCTCGCTCTTTCTGCAATAAGAGAGCGTGTGCCGGAAATTACTATCGCTATATCGATAAAGATCGATTGATACCACAAATGAATATTTGCTAATCAAAAGGAAGTGAAGGAAGTAGGGTAGGGTAGGAGCTAGTGGGTGTGATTGTTACAAGACATTTTCAAATCGATTGAATCGATAGAATTCAAAACGCATTTATCGATAAGTTCCGTTATTGGATTGATGAATATCTTTATCGAAACGTTTCAAATTAAAGTCTCATTTAGAAAGATAATTTAATCAACCGAAAATCGTATACTAGCCCTAATTCAGTCTAATTCAAGTTATCAAAGATCCACTAAGCACATCTTCCTTCCAAGAATTTTAATGATTGAAACATGTTTACCTCGGAGCAGGAGAGCCACTTGCTTTGATTAATTGTCGCCTGAAACTGTCTTTTTCTCTTCTCCAAGCGGGGAGCTCTGCTTTTGTTTACCGACAAACTACTACTATTTTTGGAGTTCTGTATATTTTTTGGCAATAAATTAGTTGAAGGCTGAGAGCCTGATGTTTACAACCGAAACCTGCCGGTTTCCGACTGCCGGGTCAAGTCGGCGATTTTGACAAAACTCTTCTCGGAATTATAAATTAAACATTTGAGCCGACTCCGTCTCTGGCTCTGTCTCTAAAGTTGCGTCGTGCATAAACTTATTTGATTTTGGTTGGCTTTGGTTTTGCTTTGTTTTTGCACTGATCTTTAGCATTTATGGGCTTTCGTTTGTACTCTACTTGAAACAAGTTCCGTCCCAAGTCTGAGGCAACATAAAAACCCCATCAAAGAACGCCAAAAATTAAAAATAGCTTCGCAAGTAAATAAACGATCAGTGTATTCCTTTTGTTTTTTGGGGGCAAACGTGATACTTAAATTACATTTTTATGGACCCCAGACAGCCAGTGAATCCGAAGCGAGAGTTTGTTAAAAGAGAAGTTCGGGTCGGGTTCGGGTTCGGGCTCGGGTTCGTTTTCATTTTCGGGGGAGTTCGAGATGAGAGTTCGTTGATTGCGAGAAAGAGAATTGAACTTATTTAACTAAATTGCTGCACAATTAACAATATTTAATGAATATATGCATATGTACGCACGGAAAGAATACGGTATGGAAATTTGGCTTTGAAATTATTTCTGAAAGACGCATATCCGGCACTTTTATTTGACGCAAAAGCAATTCTAAGTACATTTTCCAACCGAACATTATATTCGGTTTTTTTTGTTTTATTTTATTTTATGTTTGCTTTCTATCGCTGTCCGAATCTTCCTTGCTTTACACTTTTTCGGGTCTATTTATAGTGTTCTATCGAACAAATGTGGGCGCTGGGTGCACACCACCAGACCCTCCTCCCTCCCATAATCTCAAATTGTCTACAAATGTCGGTGATCTCTCGGTTCTCTTGCGATTGGTTCCTGACCTTCAAAATTTTGTGCACAATCGCTGGGAAGCCGACAGGGTGACTCGTGGTGAAAGTAAACCGTTGATATCGTCACCAGCCTCGACCGACTCTGATTTATTTTCTCCACCTCTGGGGTGGGGGGGAGCGTGAACCATGTGATCGGATCAAGGCGGTGGAATGTCCTCAAAGAGCGCGTGGGCGGGCCAGCGGTTTGCCAGAAAATTTTCCATCATTGGAGGCGCCTGACGTTCCTCCTGTTTGTCGTTTTTGCGAAATTCGGAAGAATATAAAAACTCGAGCAAAGAAAGGCCCGCATCGACGTCACACTTTTCTGTCAAGGTGCCAAGTGGATTTTGTTTTTGCTTTGCAAGAGAGAAAGAGAAAGAAACGTTGCGACTGAGTTATGGTGGAAGGCGCGACTGGCTCTAACCAGACACGAGCCCACTTTCCAGATAGTCTGGTATCCATTACACCCACACCCAGACCCCAGGCCCCATCTAGATCCAGATATTTCCACAATGGGAATGCAATAGACTGTTTTGCAGGCCAGATTAGTCGATTGTTGCACACGTTGCACAGTGCGTCTCGAGGCAGATGTTGGCATGACTAAAAACAGCAGTTCTCCTAATGCTACAATTTCCGATGGAAACATTTTACGGAAAATGCTAGAAAACACTAAAAAAAAACATTCCACGATTTGCTTAGAGCTATAGTTTTGTATCGTACTGTACTTGTGGCATTCATGTAAATGTATTGCCCATATCTATTCTATCAATTGGATGACATTGCCGCCTCGCCTTGCCTTCCAGCAGCAATTATTGGCTTTGTTGTGCTGGCTAACACTGCATTTCCGTTACTAACTGATTTACGGAACTGGCCTCGTCTCGGTTCGATTTGATTCTAATTCCATTCCACCGCTGATTTTTGTGTCTATTTTTGTTTTTGCAACGTTCTGTGGAACTGGATCTACTTGAAGCGAACAATAGCTTGATTAATTGTTGATTTATTGTTGAATTTCTGCGGTGCACTTCAACTGATGTTTGTCGAAGACACACTTCCGCCCCTGCCCCCGCCCCCTGCCCCATTCCCCATCGCATGGGGCCTCGTCGCAGAAATCTTGTGTCGTCTGCTCGCTTATCACTTTTGTTGTCTGATTGCGTTTTATTGTTGCTATTAATTGCCCTTTTTGCAGCCATCTCAAGGGTCTCGCCACTGCATGTCGGGTTTCCCCAGCATTGTCCTAGTTTCGGTCCTTTCACACAGAAATTTTCCATGGAAATTTACAATTGAGTCCCAGATTGGGAACTGCATTGCACTTTCCCAGTTCAAAGTGCAGTCTGACGGAGTATGTGTATCATTCAGTGTACAATTTATAGATTTACAATGGATTCACGGTCATTCTTCTTACTGATAAGACTTCTCTCCTCCCCCTATTGTGGCGATAAGTCTTTGGAATTTAGTGCAATTGTCTGATGGGTTTATAGTACAGCTGTGTCTGTGGTGTGGCAGGAAATGAGACTCTTTTATTGTTGCAGGTGCAACCAAAGGCACTGGCAGTTGCCAAGGGGAAACCAAGAAAAACCCATGCATTCCATTCGATTAGACACGCATATATATTGATTATTTCTGATATCTGATTATAGATACCCCTGTTTTAAAATCGCTTAGCATCCTTTCCGCTTTGCTGCGTCTAATGAAAGTGTCTTCAAGAGTTGTCTGTTCCAATCGCCTCGTGTCTGTCTCAGACACGACATACACGTGCCTGCTAATGAAGAGCTACAGGTTGTAAACAAGTCTGTGTGCCCTCTCGCCCCTCTCCATGTGCCACTATGCATGTGTATAGTTTTTATAGTATAATAAAAAACCAATATAAAAAGGGGCTCGGCTCGTCACATGAACTAAGCGTTTTGTGGGCCCTACTAGGCACCGGAATTATTGTTATTGGAGCGTTTAAATATTATCAAAATCTATTTCGAAACTATTTCCCGAACTTTGGTACTCTCAAGCCATTAAACGAAGACACGCGTTGCCGTTGCCGTTGCTGTTGACTTGTCTAAGGACAGATAGGGGGCTTGACTATATAGTAGAGTAAATATTTATATATTATTTCTAGAACATCAATGGAGGCTGTCTCTGTCGGTCTGTCTTATCTCTTCGCTGTTCACTCCTAGGGGCCACTCAGGTTCAAAGCCAGCCAGTCTGAGCTATTCATTTGATTAATTTCGATTCGAATAATGCCAGCCGACGGCCACTGTCATTGAAAATCATAAAAGTGTGCCATGTGGAACGGAAGTGACATGAGAAGCATGAAATTATAAATAAATGTTGGCCGCAAGGTGCATTTTGTACACTGCAAAGTCGAGGAGAAGCCATTAAATGTCGCAGCCAACAACTCCGAAAATTCCAAGAATCGAATTTGACTCAATTAATAACAATTTTGTTTTGCACAAGTACTCGTACATGGTTTTCGTTTTGTTTTGCAAACTGGACCCGACCCCACATCATGACTTAATTAATGAATATTCAGAAAACACAGAGACACAACAATTGAATCGGCTGGGCTGGGCTGGTCTGGGGGAGTTTTTTTTGCCCATAAGTCAACACAATGGAGTGCCAATCATGACGCTCATACGAGGGGGTAATACGGGCTACGAGTCTAGTAAACACACTTTGCCATGAAGTGGCAAAAGTTTAATAACAATTTATCGCAAGCTATACATACATATGTATATATTTATTCGAGTATGTACATACTGGAACATTCATTACTCATGTCTGGGCTTAGCTCGATTCTTGCTTGATTAATTCCGTTCTCCAACTGCCGGCGACGACGACGACTACTCGATGTCTCTGTTGCCAAGGGGTGAATAGCCCTACGGATACAAATTTTAATTCTAATTTGTTCTTCAATTGTAGGGGCTTTACCCACCGACAGACAAGCTCTGATAAGGGCCCTGGAGCTCATTTTGGGAACAATTATTTTCGCTTGATTGTGAAATAGGGAAATGGGAATTATTTTGATGATTTTAAAAGCATTTTCCCATTAACTGAAACATTTATTTATAGCCCTAGTTCATTGGTAATTAGTTTAAAAAATGAATTGGATACTTCATGAAATTGTAATTGAGGGATAACGATATTAAAATGATTTAGCCTCATGTATGGTCTATCGCAACTCATGACCATCTTCTATGGTTCCACATCACATAGCACCTTAATATCCCCCAATCAAGTCCTTCATTTTTTATAATTCCCTTTTCTTAAGAACACTTACAAACCTTCAGCTATAAAACCAATTGCAATGCTAAACCACTCACAAAAAGGTCATATAAATCGTTTTATGAATCACATCCATCTATACTATCCCATATATACCCCTAAGCCCCGATAACTGGGGCGTGGGTGTTAATTGCACGACGGTGTTTGACTCAATTGACTCTAATCGAAATGCACTTTTATTTTGTTTTTACTATATGCAAATGAAATATGCATTGTGTCTGGAGGGGAATCACACTTTAATTAGCAGCAATTATTGTCAACTACCCCGTCATATTAACACGTACCTTTCGATAGTGGGATATTCGATGGTGGGGGTAATATAGAGCCAGACAAACCCTTTATGACACTCAATTTCGCATTGAATCCCAAGATTCAATCCCATTGTGGATCTATATGGCTTCAAAAGAGGAATTGCCATACAGGTTTCAGATAAGGCGCGTTCCCATAGACTTCTGGCCACCTCCATCTCCACCTCCCCTGACCGATCCGCTTGTTTGGCCGTGCTAATTGGCAGATTTGATTTTCGGTTAGAGCCCTGCGGCTTATCGCGCGGGTCGTCAAAATGTGCACTGGGGCATCCGATGATGCCGCCCGCTTGGCCAGACACCGACACCGACAACGTGCCCCCCCTTCACTCCTTGCTGTCTGGGGCTGCGTCTGCGACTAAAGTGCTAAATAGCTTAAAAGTACGAATTAAATAGTAAACACGCGGATGACAGTCGCTGATAGGCTATTAAAAAATGTGCCTTAATCGAGTCAATAATTGTACAGAAATGTACCCAAAATTTAGTCCATGAACTAAACTTTCCACAAAGATAAAGTCTGTCTGTGTATGACCATTGATTGAAAGAGAGAGAGAGAGAGAGAGAGAAAGAAACCCCAACTAACGTGTTTAGTTAGCGTGACTGTGCTAATATGTTTGCATATTTTATGGGCTCCTTGAAAATGTCATAACAATGGCGTCATAAGGTCGTCCAACTGCGTAGTCAAGGTGTCGCCAGTTGTGGGCGTCGTCGTCCCTATCGATTCACGCGAGGGATTTCAGGGTGTCATGGATATCGTGGCTAGGGATGGAGTGTAGAAGCATACGAATTTCTTCTCGGATTTGATAAATATATATGTTTGTGGCGAATATTCATAAACCACAAAGCGTATCTGTAGTCGTTGTGCAGAAACTATAGTAGAAGTACAGCAGCCAGAAAGATCTTCAATAGGCAAAGTCGGAAACTACGCAGTAGAGTAGTCCGTTATTCTTTCAACTCGTATTTGCCGAGAGCGTGGCCTGAGAGCGAATAAGGGTCGTCTCAGCCGAGAGATAGAGAAGGAAGATCAAAAAGGAAAAGGAGCAACCCAATCAATAGGCTTTGTTTTGCTCATCTCAGGAACGGAACCAATTGATTTGTAACCTCAATTCAACTTGTCTCATTGACACCAATCAAACTGTCAACTCGACTGGACTGAATCGACAAGGAACTGCACTGAACCTAATCAATTTGTTTATTTTAACTGAGTTTCAATGCGTGCGCGATGTTTCAATTGAACCTCAGATACCACTGACCATCATGGTGGCGCGCCCCATTCTGGGGAGCTCTCATGCGGTTATTGCTGTTGCTGTTTTTATTGCTGTTGTTATCTAGAAGAGCAGAAAAAAGGGGCCCGGCTCGGCTCGGCTCTACTCCACTCGGTCCGGTTGGATTCGTTTGGGCGTTCTGGCATTTTCGATGTGCCCCTGGGTTTGGTTTGTAAGTAAGTTGATACGCCAGCCCATTGGTATAGTGACAGACCACATAACAGAACTGAGTACTTTTTATGGGTGATATCAATGTTTTTCCTTCCACTTACCTCTGACTCTGTGAAGGCCTCCTTTCTCCGTGTTGGACATGACGCCGCTGCCGACGCTCTGCAAATGGAAATGTACCAGGAATGAGCAAGCCTTTTCAAATTAGAGACAACAGATATCACAAAGTTGACATTGATAAAGATCTAACAAATAGATATTAATGGTCTGAAAGTTAATGAAGCTTTTTCCGGAGTCAACTCACGGTTTGTCCCCTCCTATCGCTTATCTTATCTAATCGCCCTCGTCTCGTGTTTTGTACCTGAACGTGCCCACGAAGAACTCACGGCGCCAGTCCCACAAAAAACTGCGTACTACATATATGGGACATTGTCTGTCCCGTGACTCAAGGTGCATAATTATATCACACTGACTGGCGCGTTAGCGTTAGCTCATTCATAACTAACCGAATTCCCTGGCTCTTTCTTTCTTATCTGCCTGCTCGTTCCATTATCATCGTCTGAGCGTCTTCAAATGCCGCCGCCATACGGACATACAGCCAGATATCGGAATGCTAAATATAATGGAACCCCTACACGCACTCAACCACAGACAGCAGAGAACCAGAGGTTCTCAAGCGTTTCCCATGCCAAGTGTCTCCAAGAGGAGAGTGTCGCCGCTCATTTCTTTTGTTCTATTCGGCATCAGCTGGCGCCGCCATAAATTATTGAACCATCAGTCGGAGGAAATTCGTCAGCTCTACGAACGCGTACTCTATGTGATTTCTGCATGCTAATTCCCACTAGACTGTAGACGGGACACGTGTATGCAGGTCTGTGCATATCAATAAGTCAGCCAGCCCCTAGCAGGCTTAGAAGTTTAGTACAATCAATTAGCTTTAACTGCGGCTTGTTTAATGACTGAACTGTCCAATTTGTTGGGCAAATATTTGCTGACGTCTATGGGCAACAACATAAAATGCAAGGAATCTAGTTTCAGTTTCATCGTGCCGAAAATGATATACCCTTGAAGTTTAAGGGACCATTTATAATCAGTTTTGAAACCATTATTTGGTCTTATACAATCCTGCTGATTCAGATTTATTAACTGCCTAAATATGAAAGAAGACTGTATATGCCAGGTAGGCCACTGTTTTGATTGGGATCCCTATCCTCCAAACTGAGTAAACCCACTGCAAGGGTATAGGACCCATATGTGTTACATATATGTATTTTCCTGCATGACACACCAAATTATTGTCCTTGCCTGGGGTGACATGATGATTAGCCTTGCCTTTGCATGTTGCCATGTTATTAACTGAATGAAATGAAAAGCGGCATCTGGCAGCGAGAAAATGTGCGTCTCACTTGGTCATTGACTATATACGACTTCTATATGGTCATATGCTCATCTACGTCATCTTCCGACTCTACTTATTTCGATTCCTATGTGCAGTACATACGCCAAAATCAGGCAATGCCGCATAACGCGCGACTTTTCTCGCGGCTTCCCCTGGCGGCCTGCGGCGGTGGAGGAGGTCAACATCGTATCGGGTATCGGGTAAATGTACTTATAAAAGCAATTATAGCCTAACCAACCAAAAATGTTAGTCATGGAAAAGCCTATGTCTATTTTTATAGAACATTTAATTGCTATTAACAGTGTATACATTTATATAGATACATATGTTCTTGTTTTTTCGATTGAACACTTCCTGAAACACGTATTGATTTCAGCGCTTGTTTATCTCAAATATTTTTGTGTATTTTCTATTGCTTGTGATGATGCTTTAATTATTTCCCCCAAAACAGTTTCCCACATATGGAAATAGTTTTAGAATTACAAAAACATTATCTTATTTTTAACTTTTGCATAAATTATGGAAACATGATTAATCTTGATAGCACTTTACACATTTAAATCTAGCAAATCTTAAAGCTAATTAAAACTTCAGTCATTGTAACACACAAAACAAATCCTGAATATATTAGCAACAATTTTCATTAGATATTGAGAACACATTGAGAAGAAACCCACCTTGCAATTGTAAATGGAAGTTGTTTACGGCAAATTATATAATTTGTTCAGCAAATCAGCGATTAACAATCTGATCTGTATCTGAATATAATTATATTTACAGCGCGATTTGCATAAAAACCGACACACAACAAAACGATGTCCGCGTCAGAATCGACTATGAAATGCACGTGCACTATATGTTATATGTTTTTCTTTTGTAAAAGTTTAAAAACACTTTTTCGAGAGAATGTTTGACACCACAAAAACCGAAATGAATCACACACGCACACTCCGGTAAACGAAACGGATTTGGAGTATGGGACAGACAGCTGTTGATTATTTTTGAAACAGTAAGTTTTGGCGCATGCGCAGACACTTCTACATATATTTCGAATACGGAGTCGAATCGCCTGCTGCCTGCTGCTGTTGCTCTTGGCTGGCTGGCTGGCTGCTGTGTTCACTCGGAGCGTTGGAAGTGAACTGAAAATGCTGCTTGCGCGGCAGCGGCTTTTTCTTTGCTTTGCTCGGCGCTCAGCGCAACAGCGGACGGACAGAGCAGCGGCGTCGTTGGACGACGACGACAAAGTTGTCAGGCCGTTGGCGCTCCGATGGGTTCGTTTACAGTGAGGCTCTTGCGTTGCGTCGGGGCCTCTGCTGACGTCGACGTCCACGTAGCGTCGCGGCGCTGCTGGTGGCGCTGTCGTCACGCTTGTTGTTGTTCGTGGGATGCAAAATTCAAATTCTTGCGCCGTTTATTTTATTTTTACGCTGTACCTTATTTTTTTTCGCCTGCTCTTCGCTGCTGTTACGGTGCCCCTGTGATTGCTTCTCTCTCCATCTCTCCTTCTCCGTTTCTCTCTCCTTTACCTTACTTTCTCAATGCGCCTGACTTCGATTTCTTAGCTGTATAGTAATGATAATTATCCAGATGTGGTCGCAGCAGATCGATCGGATTGTATAATTATCGACATGAAAGGAAGGCTAGTTTCGGGGCCGAAGCTTTGGATACCCTTGCAGCACGATCGTTCCTTTGGCAGCACCATATGATATTGTGATTTAATCTGGGGCTTTCCTTATTCATATTTATATATTTACTTGTAGGAGAGATCTTAAAATAGTTTTCATGACAGGACTAAAATCCATAATTCGCCCTCGCTCGTCCTTGCTTTGCGCTGTCGGAATTGGACCTCGCTCCTTTTTGCTCTGTCTAGGGATCGCGGGCGAAACCCAGCCCACATATATCCTTTTACTACTGTACATGCAAGCCCCCACTTGCTGAAACAATAAAAGTTTAATTACCATTAGGAAAATATGCATAACAGGCAGAAAATCATATGGAGAAACGGGTCCAACGCTCCACCAGACTGGGCCGAGCCGAGACATGCAAGCGGTCGTCGAAGATGGGACAGAACTTCTCGGGGAACTTAGTCTGCAGGCACTTGATGACCGTGCCAGTGAGATAGTAGCGTGGCGGCCATCTGCACTCGCAGGGCGGAATGCAGACCGTACAGACCTTCTCCATGGCGTTCCATTTGCTCCGGGTCAAAGTCAGCTGTGGTGTCAGGACGTTGAGACGCCAGGGCAGGCGCAGATCACGATCGGTCCAGTTACAGTCGCAGGGCGGAATGCAGACCTTGCACATGACATCCTCCGGATGTATCTCCGGTGGCGCCACTGGCAGGGCGTTCTTGCACTTGTACAGGTTGAAGCGCGGTATCATGCCGATAAGCTCGGTGTAGTTGTGCTCCCGCTCGCGGCGCAGCCACAGGTACAGCAGATCCCAGTGGTCCAGGTTCTTGGAACGCTCGCGTATCAGCTGCATGCGTCGATACAAGTCCGAGCGACGCACTTCATCGTAGTTGACTCCCGTCTGGGTGTGGAACAGCAAGTAAAGCTCATTCGGGTTCTCGTCGGGCAGGCTGATGCTGCGCGAGAACTTGGCCAGCTCGAAGTGGAACAGCATCCGGATGCCGTACGTTATATGTCGAATATGATCAAAGTCCTTGATGTTCATCGCCGACAACGCGCAGGCGTCGACGAGCAGCAGTTTTCGCCCCCAAATCATGTTGACGCGAAAAGTATTCTAGAACATTTTTAGACAATAGATCAATCAATCCGTAACGATCGGTTGTACCGGTGACCTACCATATATTCGGGGTAGCCATATCGCTTGATCCAGCGCCTTACATCCATGTCATCCCACTCAAAGATCGATGGAATCGGTAGCTTATCCACCACATTGACGCATAGCTCCACGAGGGAAGCCGGCGAGGCACGGAACTGAATGGGAACATCGTTTAGATCGATCTTCGGACGACCCTTGAGGAACTCGTTGCGTCGAAACTTGGTGGGCGGCACTCCGGTGGGTACCTTCTTCTTGATCTTCTTCACCAGGAACTTGGTGTCCGCAATCCCGTACAGATACGGCATCTTTCGTCAGCCCTAAATTTGGTTCACTATCCGATATGTGTATAAAAAGAGCAGAATACGAAAAAGTATTTCCACACACATCAACCAAAAAAAATATAGATTACTGTGATTGAGTCTGGAATTTGTTTCTAGTCAATGGGAAACGGCTTGCAGATCCAGAGGCACTTCCTCGTCATTAGAGATCATCAGGAAGCGGGTTTTAGACATTCGGCAATACTCTACTCAGGCCCTGGCAGGGTTCATGTTTCCATTTCATTTTGCCATTATGCTTTGAGCGCTACTTCGTAAACAAGCCGGCAGAATCTGGCAATATCTGAACGGAACCAGAAGCAGAGCCAGGTAGAGGCCAGGCCAGGCCAGGCCATTCCGACTTAGAACCGAGTCCCGTGTGTGGTTAAAACATCTGTCCGTCAATCAGCGCATGCCAAAAGTGATTTATTTTTACGCGTATACGAGTATTGGTAATACACAATAGATCGGTTGTCCCGGCTCATAACGGTCCGGGGCCGGTCAGGTACTCGGCTGCTGCTGGCCATGTGCTGATGTTGTGCTTGTCAAAACATGGTCAAGGGCAACGGCAACGCCATCAGTACATAATACGTACTGTATGGTATGTACACATGTATGTACATCTGTATATACAAATATCTCAAAACCGAATTTTGTTTTTTTGGGTTGTTTATGAACCCCCGCGAAATGAAACGAAATCGCTTTGGGGGCAACTGACTGGCGGCTGACTCATCCGTACAACAGTTCACGTGACAGCCATATTGGAGGTGATTTTTATTTAAACACGTTTTCATGCCTTTTCGGCTGTTCATTTTGTTGTATTTATTTATTCTGTTCGGCAATCAAGCAAAACCCAATAAACCTCATCAGGTTCATTGAGGCGAACGCTTACCTTCATTAACATATGCCCGTCAATTTTTTCTACACATGTTTGTTTCTTTTCTTTTATATTTGCAACAGTTTTTCGCCGTAAACTTCGATGACACTTCCCCCAATCTATCTATGTTGCTGTTTTGGAATCTTCAATTAGTTCTATTTGCGCATGTTTTTATCACGAAATGTCGATATTCGGAACTAAACACTTGACACATTGTCCCCAGAAGATGGCGTTGGGCGAGGCGATAGGCGTGGCTTTGTTCACAGACCTATAATTTCAGCCCGTTCTGAATGGTGATAAATGTCTAATTAACAGTTTTCCTGCATCAATAGTCGCTCTCTAGGCAATTAAAATTATTGTTTTTCTGCGGGTACAATAACTGTGAAGGGATCTCTGAGGGGATGAATGCACCATTAACCGATTACAATTTTATAAGACAAAAGAATAGTTACAAAAGTGTACATACTGTCTGGATATTGAGAAATGCAGTAGATCGACGCTTCCAGTCGTTTCTATTGCGAAGACATACCATTTTATCCAAATATTTACTGAAGACCGTTAACCAGAATGACAGAACTAGAACCTTCTAGGATTTTACTTCTAAACGCGACTCATCCTGGATGGACTGGAGCTACTGGATATACATCTTTTATATCTTTACAATTTTAGAGTGAAAGCCGAATGTTTCAGTTGGATATTTATGGAGAACAATTGCCGAAAATTAATTCTTTGGGGGTAGAACACAACCACCTGCAACAAGATTAAGTACATATCTGTATTGGATCACCTTCTTTTATTATTATTATATTACTGTTATGACCTTGCAGAAGGTGGAATGATTTTGTAAAGTCCCCCACTAGGGCACGTGCGACGTTGATCCGCGAGCCAGACGTCATTCGATACCTATGACGCGATCGGAGACCAATTGTCAGGAAGGTATACTGATACTGTACTTCAAAACTATTACAAGTCTCATAAGTGTACACAAGGTGATTTAATGGGATAGATTTTAAATGTGTGACACTTTTATCTCAAATTACGCAAGTTTTTTGTTAGCAATAAAAACAGATCGGAAATATGTAATAGTTTCGGACGAAAAACTACCAGAAAGACTTCTGGGATTTTGAAAATTTCCAGAAATTCGCACAAAGATCTGTTGTCAAAACGATGCTGTCATATCTCACATTACTATATCTCTAAACTGTGGAGTTCTGCAATACAACAAAAATTTGCAAATCCAACAAAAAGCGTAACAAGAACCGCAGCCAGACAGCCCCAACATCTTTTCAGTGATTTCACTTTCGTTGAAAAGGCTTTGAGACGTCACCATTAAACTGCAAATGATATGACCATGACCATGTAAGGGCAGAGGCAGATGGCTACCAGCGGAAAATAGCACCACAATGTAGTGGTGGCAACAATAAATTAAGGTTCTATTTTTATAGCTAACTTGTGCTATTATTACATGCCACAAGCAGCACCAGCCCAACCTCAAATGGAGGCAGGCTGCCCCCGATGGTCAAGCAACAAGTTAGACCTAAAATAGAAGACTGAGGCTGTCCGCGAGTCCTGCCTGCCAGTCCGTGGGGAGCTTGACCAACTTGCGCTGCTACGGGGTACAGGTACATGAAAATTAATAATGCAAATAAATTGTTAACTTTAAACGTTCAGATTCCAGTCTGCGTACGGCTCCAATCAGTGTGTGTGTGCGTGAGAGAGTCTGGTGTGCAGTGGATGTGGCAGCGACGCGACAGCGACAGAGACCACTTGAGGTCAGTTCGATCACGATTACACGTTTTGTGGACCAAGGTGTTTTAGCGTAAGGTAACAGCATAAGGTATTCCCAGAGAGCTCTCCCTTTTTAAATGCAGTAATTAAACAGTACGTATACCAGCCAGAAAGGCTTTCCGACGAAAATTACGAAACCCTGTGTCACTCACATCTGTAAAGATACAAAAAATCAACAAAAAGCTGAATCATAACAAACAATCACACTTGCATTACTACTTGATTGCAGAAACGCGTTGCGATCGGATAATTATTAAAGCCAGAATGAACCTGTCGTTTTGCTCTTTGAACACATGGCTTTGAGCAGTAATAAATTTAACGATCTGTTGAGTGGATAATTTTAGATCAATTTTGAATAAATAAAAGTACCTCGGGTGTTACAAAACACGTGCAGCGACTTCAAGCGATTTGACTACTAAATTTTATAAGTTTTTCTCTAAGATTTATTTGCCACGCGATCCTTTGAAATACCGAGATTGGATTGGATTCATAATAATAGTTGCTTGGTCTGGAGCATTAAATCTTTAAATATCTGCTGATGATGTATAGCCTCTATGGCGAACACCGATCTACAAAGACGTTTGTCGCAGAGTGTCGAAGAGAGTGGAAGACATAATAAAAAATCGACAAAGCGTCACCTTGTACAAAATACACCCTGGTCTGGAGCATTGCCAGCGCAGCGACATGGCAGAGCAGCGGCCGCGCAGCCTCTGCCAAGATCACGACGACGAGCCTCCTTCGACGGTTGGCGCTTTGGCTCTCCTCCCTCTTCTTGGCACTGTCAAGTGGCGCGTGCATAAGTGTGCTCTGTGCGTGAGTGTGTGAGTGTACATTTCTTGGCTACACTTGAAGAAAATACTGGACGAGCTTAATTAATTTCATGCCTAGATCAGTCCACTTTTTCACTATCAACGATTGGTGGGGTGGCGCTGGGAGCTGTGAGTAGCACGGTACGGGACGACTCTGTTATTTGGAATTCGAGCTGGAGCGCCTGATTACATGCCTGGCACATTTTAATTGATGATCCCAAACGCAATGCCCGAGTTTATAGCTTCGTTTGGTATTTTTTTTCTCGCTTTTTTTTGCGCAGCTCTTGGGCCTGTTGTCTGGGCGCTGTGTTTATCATTATTGCTTCAGCTCTTGTTATTCACGTAACTTTTTTTGCTCTGCTCTGCTTTGCTTTGGAATGAAAGCCGGGTTTCCAAGTCCTATAAATAATGGTCTTTCTTCGGGATAATTATCCTAAAAATCCATTAAAGGACAGTACATATTTAATCAAAATAAACTTTCTATATTTCCTAACATATTCAATAGCCCGAAATTGGAATAATATTTTGTCGAACCACCAGATAATTGTCTGTCTCACTGGGATCTTATCAATGAAGCGCGCAGTTTTCTTTTTTTTTCTTTTGTCAGACACAAAAACAAAGACAAGACTGTTTTTGACGGGCAAAAAACAATTTGAAAAATTGTTAAGTGCATTTTTAATACACCCAATATATATGTACGTACGTATACCAACTGTCTACAGTATAGCTTCGATTAAGCGCACTTTCATATGTGAGCTAGAAGATATGTACCTAGTTCTGGAATCAAAGCTTTGGACCCAATGGAAGTATAATGAGTCGATCTTAGCGGTGTTGGAAATCTGGCTATATGCATTTACATATCTATAAGATACATACGTTCAGGATCAAGTTTTCTATTTAGTACAGCATCATATCGAATAATTATTGTGGCGTAAAGGTGGTTCCCCCTTGGAGAAGTTAAACTGTATTTGGGTATGGAACAATGACAAGCCACTTTGAAATATTTTTAACGATTCTCAAACGCGAATGACACATTTATTTTGCCAGATGATTTGGCTTTTATTAAGAGCAAAAAATTGTAATTTTTGTTGCTATCTATATTTTTTATACAATTTAAAATACTTTCAATGGTGTGTACGTGGGCATGCTTCAACTCAAGTTTTTTATACATATGTATATTTTTCACTTCTATCCCCAACGAAATTCCATATATATTTTTTTTTTGCTCCTCCTCTTTTGTTGCTTTGCGTCACCAGCAGCGCGTTGTCGGAGTCGGGCCCCCTTATGATGGGGTCTATGTGTGGGTCTCTACATTGTAACATATACACGCGCACATACCATCCCATACAAATATATATGCAGAGTGTAGATATGTATAGACAACGGATGCTAATAGATGATGCTGGCGCTGTGCGGCCTGTTGCCAACGTCGAAAGTGCGCTGCGTTCAATAAAAAATCAAAAATAAATAATATTTTCCACATCCAAGCACCGCAAATAAACAGTTTGAAGTATTATTGAATGCATAATAAATGCAGAGCACTGCTGATACAGCAGAGTTCAATTTTGATTGACAGCTACAGACAGAGCGAGCAGTGGTATGCAAATCCGTTGAACTGAAATTGAATGGAAGTTGTATTGGCAATGGAATAATTTATAAAAATGAAATAATCACTTTCGTAGTGTGGCATATAGTACATGTGTACATATAAGTATACTCTGGCCATTCCCATTGATAAGCAAGGGTACAGCGAAGCAGACTTTGATTGTCTCAGCCTCAATGACTACAACAAAGCCACACGCTCCACACAAAACTATAGATGCATAGCCTATAAAACTGCTCTGAACTGGATGCTGACGTCACACGTGGACTATTTTTCTAAAGTCCAACTTACGAACGCATCCATCTCAATCCATCTCAAACGTAACTGATTGATGCACCACTTCCTATAGCTTGCAATTCTAGAAATAGAGTCCCGGATAAGACATTGCGCATGGAAATTCTACTCGTAATCAATTTGATCAAAGATTTGTCCAAGCTGGGAATCTACCAATTAAATGGGGAAACAAAATGCGCATAAAATGAGTTCAATTGCCGGGTTAGCTTCTGTGGGCGTGGCACGTGTAGTCATTGGGTATGACATTTGCATTAATCTTAATTGATTAATAACGATTCAAGATCAAAGCCAATTAGGCGTGCAACATGGCCGTAAAATTTAAATTCCAAAAGTCTACCTAATGTTTGATGAAATATTTCCCGCCGAATCAAGAAGCATACAGCTATACATATTTTAAATACAATATGTAGAAACTAAAACGTAATATCATCTATCTATACCCCAATATTAAAAACAAAAACCCTACTTAAGAGCGAAACTTTAGCCCGAGCATCATGCACACTCAATGTTTGTTTTTCGGCACTTATCTTGCAAGGCATTCGCTGTTGCATCATAGTATAAATGGGTATGTATTTATGTATGTAAATATGTAAAATCTATATTAAAGCGATTCCCATACACATACCTGAGAAAAACAGGCACTCAGAGAGCCCCGCAGCACACATTTTGCATACAAGAAGATTCCATTCCAATTACACTATTTTTCACTACTACAAAAACCGACTAAATCTCTCCTACTTGATCTTAAATAGCAAACACAATGTTATTTGGTTGGTGGTGTACTTATAGTCGAGCCACTCGACTACAATAATCATATTTTATATTTTTTGGAATTTTCAAATTCCATTAGCGTTTCCAAACGTTTAATATCAACTAGAAAATACGAACTAAAGAGTTTCAATTGTCAAGGGAGCACTGGCGTTTCAACGTGTGGCAGTAGTGTTATTGTCCTTATCCTTGTTTTCATCGTCATCGCTATCGCTATCGTGATCATCGTCCTTATCGTTTTCATTAGTGTCCAGACTTTGCTTGAGGGCTTTGCTCGCCTCGCGATCCCGCTGCGATTTCTCCCAGGCCAGCTCGAAGGGATACTCGAGAGGCTTTAGTTCATCGGGACACTCCTGCTGATTGGGTGCAGTGGCCTCGTTGATAGAGGCGCCTCGTGTATGAATCCTCTCCAGCATGGCGGCATTGTGAGTCTCGGCATTGAGATTGGTGATGTATTCGAATAGCTGCTCTTTGGTGTAGATGTTAGGCAGTCCGCGTCTCTCAAAGAAGTTCACAATATTGCCGCAGTCCCGCATGAGAAACTCCAGGGCACTTGGGTGCTTTGGCTCCACACTCTGGGCCACGTCGATGAACCAACATTTTCCCTCGAACCAGAGAATATTGTACTCGCTGAGATCAGCATGGACCAGCTTGGCCTCGTTGTACATCTTGTGCATAGCCGCCACAATCTCCTCATAGGCGCAGCTCAGCTCGGCAGAGCTCAGGCGGGCATCCTTCAGCTTGGGCGCAGCATTGTGATTGTCACCAATGAAGCGCATGACCAGAACATGCTTCTTCAGGACCACCACGTCGGGCACGTTGAGGCCAATGTTCTGCATGCGCATCAGATTGTGCATCTCCTTCTCCGCCCACATGTTGATGATGACGCGGTGATTTTGCTTACTGAATCGATCCTTAAAGCGATAGTCGTCTTTGATGTACCGATCCCTTTGCTTGAACTCGTTCAGCGTGGTCTTAAAGATCTTGATGGCACACTCCTTGGGTAGGAGGTTGGGCGGCATCAGCACACCGCTTTGATGGCCATGCTCATTGCTTCCCGTGTAGCTGGAATCGGAGTTGGCGTGCAGGATCACCGCCTCCTTGCCCGTGGAGATGATGCCGTTGATCTGTTCGAGCACTTGATTGTTGATCAGCTTGTACAACAGTAGACGAGTGCTGGCATCCAGGCCCATTTCGGCAGTGGCCACTTTCTCGTGACGATCGGAACGGCCACGACGGGAATAGGCCTTCAACTGATTGAACACCTGCAAGTGGATTAATAGATATTGTGTTAGCAAATGTGCATAAAAATGGGATCAGATTATGGTTCACCTTGTTGGACAACTTCATGTCGAAGCCAGCTCCATCGCCAGTGGGAAATTCTGGGGGAAAAGACATCACGCGCTGGGCATTGCGGACGGCGCACAACTGTGGATCATGCTTAGTGATCATTTCGCCCTCCTTGCTCATTTTGAAGCCACACCTAGGTATGGACTCCAGCCTCTTTTCGTTGGTCTCGAAACGGTCCCAGTCGTGCTTTAGCCGCTCCAGCTCATCCTCCTCGTAGTCGTCCTCCTCGGTGTCGTGCAGGAACTCGGCATCACCGCTGCGTCGGAATTTGTCCAGTGTTACAGTCACTTTGGACTGCTTGTTCTGCTTCTGTTCGATGCGGCGCAGCTCCTCGTTGTACTCGTGATCGAATTGGGACTGCAGCATTTGGGCAATGACTGCATCGGAGTCGCCGCCACTGCCGCTCTCCTCTTCCTGAAGAAGGGCCAGCATCTCTGACGGCAAATCGGCCTCTCCGCAATCCTCTAGAAGCGAAGAGTAGTCCTCCCACTCTTCCGTTTCGCTGTTGGTCTTTGCTGGTATCGCGGCCACATCGGAGTAGTTGGCAGCACCCGGTGAAGCTGCTTCCCCGTCCCAGATGGATGTGGCTTCCACCTCAGTTTTCTTCTGGGTTTGCTGATGCCGCTTTACCTCCTGGTTGTGCAAACGATGTGCATACTGCTCCGACATGATATCAGCTAGACTCGTGGTCTGCACTGGCTCCTGGGTCTTGATCCATGGCGACGACATACTGGCAATAGCCCAATAAATCAATAAAGAGAAATGCCAGCTATATTTAGTTTTATCCCACAAACCTTTTGGCACTTTTGGCGTGAGGGATCGGCTCCTGATCGGTGGTAATTTTCAAGTTTGTCTCGTGTGTTGTGGTCACAACAAACGATTCTTTTTAGCTTGTCTGCTGGCTGCCAGCAGAGTCCAGGCAGTCGAATACCTGATTGAAGACTATTGATATTTATACTGCAGCAAAGGTGTCTGGCGTCACCTGGCGAAGGACTATTACACCTAAGTTGCAATAGCTTTTACTTTTTTTCGTATTTTTGTTTTTACAAATGTTGTGAAATTGCGATTGTCCAATTGGGGATGGAACATTAACCATACATATCGGAACGGTGGAACGATATTTATGCGAGTTTTTTTGAATTTAGCCTGAAAATGTAATGAGCAACGTTAAACTATGTTCTTAAAAGAAGAAACCTGACTTGTCAGATTTTAAGCTTTATTATAGCAATATTTTCAATAAATAAAACTCATATTTGCAAATTATTTACCTATCGATAGCTATCAACTCGTCGTTTTGCAGCCCTAAACTCGAATCGAATGTCAGTGCAAAACGGAATGTGCAAAAGTATGCCTGGCGATACTTTTTGTTGTACTTGTACATCGCCAAAAATAATAATAAAAGTGAAAAATTTTTTTTGTTAATATATTTTTTGTTGTACAAAGAAGAAATGTTATTAAATTAATCGGCCACCTTTTTCGCCAGCAGTAACGGCCGCATTGAAACCCCGAGTGCAATAAATACGTGCTAACGCTGGTAAGAAAGATGGAACAAAAACGAGACCGAAAAAAAAATCAAAATAGAATTCCGAATTTAGAATATGACAGACCAAAAAAAATTTTCAATTCGAACGCATTGCCTCTGCCGCCGCCGCTGCCGCTGCCGTCCGTGTGGGGGGACTTGGGGGTCAAACTTGAGAGGGAAAAGAAACGAGATCGGGGCGACAGAAGCAGAATCAGAAACAGAAACAGAAGCAGAGAACCAGTGACAGAGGCAGAAGCAGAAGCGGCGGCAACTGATTTCCGATTTCGTCTTGGGGTTTTTTGCGCGCAATGGATTCTCGTAGAGATCTGTGCTAATTTGTGCTTAATTCTTACCGCTAATCCTCTCCAGCACCACCCGCAAGCATCCACACCCCGGCATCTAAAGCACGCGCACACGAACGTTGTAATAGAATACTGGTGTAATTATTATTTCTCTTCTTTTCGTGGACAGAGGCGCCTCTCCATCATCATACAATAACCGCCAATTCGCTACTGCTATTCCGCCTTCCATAAACGCCATAAAACATACCAAATAAGGAGATACGCTTACGCTTGGGGCTGCTTTGGCTTTGGGAACTACCGGGACTTCCGAGTGATAGAGTGAAATGATAAAGTCTACCACCAACATACAGGAACAGCGTCTGCCACGTCCCGAGGACCAGCCACAGCAGGTGCATCCGCCGCAGCCACCGCCCCCAACGCCGCCGACGCATCAAGTGGCCGCCGTGATAGCCAACATGGACACACTGAAGACCGCCTTTCTGCCAAATCTCAGCATGGACCCCAACGTCCATGTCAGTCCGCACTACTGTCCCATGTGCCACCAGCAGTTCGAGCGGGCCCAGCACGTTACAGAGCACATGCAGCTGTGCCACGGCATAACGCTGAACTCTCAGGGAGCTATCACATCGCTGGAGGCCGCCCAACAGCAGCACCAGCAACAGCAACAACAGCAGCAGCAGCAGCAGCAACTGAAGCCCAACTATTCGTGCGTTAACTGTGATGAGAAGTTCGGGAGCGCCGTGGATCTGGACGAGCACCAGCGAATGACGCACCAGGCGCCCGCCTTCCTGGCGCGTTGCCTCGTATGCAGCATTTACGGAGTGCATTCGGCCACGCCGAACCCCAACGAATACAAGTGCACGCAGTGCGGTTCCGTCTGCACGACGTCCATGCTGGCGGCGGGACAGCAGTCGTTCATGGAGCAGCAGGAGGCGCCCGTGACACCCGACGAGCTTCCCGCCATTGCGCCGCGTGATATGAGACTGACGCCCGAAGAGCAACATCACCAGCAGCAGCAGCAGCTGCAGCAGGAGCACCATCATCAGCAGCAGGAACTGCTTGAGCAACAGCAGCGGGAACTGCAGGAGCATCAGCAGCAACAGCACCACCAGGACGATCTTTCTGGCGACCAGGTGGGCCTCAAAGTGCCGCCGCTCACCGTCAAGCTGAACAAAAATTCGAATGGGGGCTCCGTCGCCCATCCCCAGGTCATCATCAAGGAAGAGCCGCTCAGTCTGAGCGATAGTGGCGATGTGGTTAACGCTGTCCCCGTCTATGCCATACAAGCGAATCCTGGCGTGCAGGCACCGACCCCTGGGGCCGCCACCAGTGTCCTGGTCAGCACGCGGATCGTGACAGCGGATCAGGCGCACAAGATCCGGCACAAATGTCCGGACTGCCCGAAGACATTCAAGACGCTGGGAACCCTGGCCATGCACCGCAAGATCCACACAGGCGAAGCAGAGTAAATTCCATTTATATGCGTTCTATGTGAAATTTGTCCCCGCCGAACAGTGTGGCCAGCTCTGAAAAGTGTAGCAATTCGGTCACACTTTTCTGCGGGAAGCGCCCGTTATTCGTTTAGGGCAGCCCTGGGTTCCAGCCAACCCAAATGGAACCACACGATCCGATCCGAATCGGTTCTGTTCGGGGTCTGTCTGGCCTGGAGGCTCTCCCAGCTAACCGTAATACTTTTTACCATATTGTATATGATTTTTTTTGTTTCCTTCGGACCAGCTGGGCGCATGGGCGCGCGCCCCTTAAGCGCCTTGGGGCGTGGGCCATGCGTCCCTCGTGTGATGTTTGTTTTGCAATTTATTTTTGTACATCGACTGTTACTAATAATATAATTCTGATTTTTTCTTTCTTTTCTCCCGCGCCATCTCTCTATTTATTTCTTTATCTCTCTTTCTCTCTCTCTTTCTATTTTTCTCTGCATTCCGTTTCATCGCGCTATTTTGAAAAACCAAAAAAAAAAACCAAATTGTATATCTATGCCAATTCTTAACTCTTCATTCTCCGCTCTCCACGCCCCGCAACTTCGACAGCGCCACGCCCAAAGAACGCCCCTACACGTGCTCGTACTGCGGCAAGTCCTTCACTCAATCGAATACACTAAAACAGCACACTCGCATACATACAGGTGAGAAACCATTTAGATGTGGCTATTGTGGCAGGGCGTTCACTGTTAAGGATTACCTGAACAAACATTTAACGACTCACACGGGTGAGAAGCAATATTTTTCAAATCAAATCAGTCAGTCAATCAGCTATCAACTCAACCAATCAATCGACTCGTCAATCAATCAATCAATCAGCCAATCAATCGATCAAAAATGAAATCACTTCAATAAGCAATACTCAACAAAAAGAGAAACCTCTGTATGCAAGTCCATTCTCATTTGCCATTAATCTCTTACTCTCTTACTCTCTCTTAATCTCAGTCTCAGTATCTGGCTCTGGCGCTCTCTCTCTCTCTTACTCTCTTACCTCTGCGCAGGCTGCACAAAGCTCGCTCTGCGCAGGCGCACGCACCCAGAAAGAAGAACATGGCAAAGAGAGCAAAGCACGCAGCACAAAGCACAGTTACGATTAGCAGTGCCAAAAATTCTTTTTGCCATACTCTTCGTTGAGCAGCCAAAAAACATAAAACAAAGTCCAGTTTCGGCAAGCCGAACCTTACATATCCTAACAGAAAGCATTAGTAATCCCCAGAGCAATATTTTTCGCTATTTCTGCGAGGGTATAATCCAAATCTGTATCGCCCACCGCCTCATTTCATTACGTAATAATATGTCTCGTATGCATTCTAACACCACCAAACCACAGAAAAATATATAAACACACACATCCTTAAATATATATATACATATCTATATATATACATATATACAATATAATCTATATATACATATATAGTTTAAATAAAACGTGCAAACCCTTTTGATATGCATATCTCTACTGTATCTACACACACACAAACACACACACACACACATCAATCAGTCAATCAAACAAAGTTTTTGGTACTGCACGCACCATGACACATACTGGCGTTGCAAACGACATGTGCTAACCAAGTGTCCCAATCTTCCTTTCGCCTTCGTTGTTTGTTGCAGGTGAGAAACCGTTTCATTGCGGCTACTGTGAGAAGTCCTTCAGCGTGAAGGACTATCTCACCAAGCACATACGGACGCACACCGGCGAAAAGCCGTACACCTGTCCGTATTGCGATAAGCGCTTCACGCAGCGAAGCGCCCTCACCGTGCACACGACCAAGCTGCATCCGCTCTAGGGCAGGCCTGGCGGGGGCCGCCAACCCGCTCTTGCTGCCGACCCCGAGAAGCCGTCGTAGAGGAAGCACCACCACCACCTTCTTGGATGGTGGGCAATCAGTGGCAGTGGCAATACAAGGAGCAGTAGCGATAAGCTGGAGCAACAAACTAGAATGAAAGACCTTTTCAAAGACGACACAAGAAGTTAACTGAAGCGGAGCAACGCAACCAACGACTGGCAAATCTCCTCGGAAGGGGCTGCTAGATAATAAATTACTAAATTAGATCTTCGTTTTCAAACAAATCAAAGTTTTACTAAACTAGCGTACGGTTCTAGAATGTTTAAGTTAATGCAATCGATTTTTGATTCAATTTGGTTATGTAGATGTTTGCAATTTTTTATTTTTATTTGTATATCCTATATGAATATCGTATATCATATTTTGTTATTCTATGAGATTTTATATGGTGACTCCTTGGCGCACACTCACGCACCCACGCGGCGCTATATATATACACAGAAACACACACACACACATCTATTATTTATGCGTATATATAAAGAGAAAACTATTTTTTATTCATCTACTATGTGGCAATATTAATTTTATCTCAAACTTGTTTGTAAAACGTTTTAAAAAAACAAAGAAGGGTACTCTCAAGTCTACGCGCAAACTTAAATTATTTCTTAAATTATACATTTATGTATTCGAACTCAAAAAACACTAAATTATTTATTTTTCATAAAAAAAAAACACTATTCGAAATTTTTACTCAAACCATGAAAAACAAAAAAAACACTCAAGAAACCAAACCATTTCTTAACTATTTGCATACGAGCAGGATCTCGTTTGTTTTGGCTTTAAAAACTTTATTTACTTTTAATCTGTTTAGCTTGTTTTTATTCAAGAAATGTTAACCATTGTTTATTTTTTAAATTATTTAAGTTAAAAGCGTCGCTTTTGTTTGTTACACTAAACAGTGAGATTGTATAAAACTAAACCTTAAAACTAAAAACTATAACTTAATAGAGAACAAAACAAACAAACAACTAAGCAATTAATTTTACAAAATTTTTGCATTTTTTAACGCAAGTCAAAAAGTATTTAAGAGAAAATTGAAAATGGAAAATTTACGCTAAACGCAACACAGCTTTATGCGCCAAACTAGAACGTTAAACAAATTAAACATAAACTAATCTAACAATCTATACAATTGATAATTTTGATAAACAAGCTTCAAGTTGTTTTTTGTAACATATATACTTTATGTATGTACTTTATCCGAAATGAGAAAATTCATCATTTTTTACTACTACTTAAAAGCGACTTTTTAAACAAAACGATTACTTGGACGAGTTGTACGTACTAAAACCAACTAAACCTTAAACAAAACTAAAACTAAAACTGTAGCAAAACCAAAACCATGTACATTTTTATAACATAGTGTTATATAATTATATAAAATATATATATATACATATAAATCTGTATGTAATATTAATTCATAATACACTCAAACAAATTGTCTACCTAAAATGGCACATAGCACAGCAACAAAACGATGCGCAGCGCATGTAAAACCAAAATAAATTCTAAGTACTAAAATACTGTAATTTTTTAAGTTTTAAATAAACCGAGAGGAAATGAGTTGACGATCAAAAGCAACAGACAAACAAACAAACAGAAACGAAGAAGGACAGGCTTACCTAACCGCAAAAACTAAGCAAATTAATTAACTAAGTGAATATGAGAATGTATGAGTATGAATGATAATGATAATGGCATAACGAACTAATCATGTTGATAACGATACGTACTAAATACCGATTAACTATTAGAACTTAGCCACGAAACCAATAACGAATGACGAAGCCAGACAGACAACACACGCACACAACAGTGAAAAAGTGAGTAAATAGTTGGTAAAGTGTAATTAAAATGAAATTTATTATATATATAACTAGATACTATTATTATGTATGTATGTACTTGCAATCTAAATTTACGTGAGCGAAAACTAGTAAATATTCGAGCAATATTTCAATTTACATATATAGATATATACAAGATGAACTATATACACAAAATAAAGTCCAACCATGTAGAAAGATTATATACGAAAAGAAAACGGTCTCAAAAGAATTTCGATTTCCCAGAGACTGGATAGGAACTCACGTTCTAAGACTCTTACACATAATATCTATGTGGGATTATATAATGATTTAAGGAACATGATGTTCTGATTGTTCTGTAGAATTTATAGGTAAAATTCGGGATGGATTAGTTGAGTTTTTGATATCACGGAACTCTACGTCACACACAAACCGCTCTCAGGTTGCTTTTCGGAAACACATCCGTAATCTGCAATCAATCCCCAATTAAACCCCCCAGACACCACATCTAGTTGATCATTTAGTTTAGTTTATTTAGTTTTTGTTGTTTTTTTTTTTCTGCTTTAATTACAATGAACGAATATTATGAACACTATCACACTTTCAAAATGTTTTCGGTTTTACATTATTTTTTCTGTTTTTTCTTTTCGATCCTTTTTTTGTTGGGTTGTAGTTTCGTGTGCGCTGAGCAACTAATTTAGTATGCCTCTCTCTTCGGTTGCTTTGGTTTTTATTGTAATGCTGATTACATTCATATATGTATATATATATTTATATATAATATAAGTAGTTATATATAGTTATGTATATGTCATATATATTTTTACACACACACTTTTGATCAAACGCAATCAAGAAGTTGTCTTAAGTTTTGTCGTCAATTTAGTTTCATTTTTTGGGCTTTCTATAATTTGTTTTAAATGCTCAATTTGTTGCATGCATGTTGTATGTTTACCTAATTTAACCATTTGCCATGTTTTACTCGCTATATGTATATAATTTTATATATATATGTGTATATACGTACATATACTATACCCCATATATATGTAAATGCCCAAGTAACTGTACTATATGTTTTCTATGGACTTATTCTCCCCAAAAAACATTCTAACGAGCGCATCCAAAAATGTATTGCGTACATTTGAAATGTATTCACTTTGTGGTTTCTTTGCTTTTTTTTTCAAAACTCCTACTACCGTCTACCTTCGAAAACAACGGATATATTAAACATTCTCTGGGATTGGATCTAAAATTGTTGGGAAATCAACTTCAAATGGGAATAATACTTGAGACAGAATTCGTTCGGCTAGTTACGATACAAAAAAAGGGTACTTAAGCATCTATTAAGCATTACCTTACCGACTTCCTTCCGGAGCTTTTCGATTTCTTTCTGTAATTGCCACACAAAGTTAACAAACAAAATGCCTGGGCTCTGCTCTCTCCGAAACCAAAGACTATTCAATACCAATTGCATCAGGTACAAATTCCATTTAAATTTCAGCTGAGTCATCCCAGAATCCTACACAAATACAGCTTTTTGGTCTCCCATGCAACATCTTGGTATTGTATAGTCTTTGGTTTTGGCCTCTCTTAAGTATGGCACGCTTCTCTTTCGTACAGTACTGCACTTAGTATTTACAAAAAGTTTACCCCGTTCGGTGTTTTGGATGGGAAAATGTAGGAATTACAAGTATACAATATATAATACAAATATATATTAGTAGGTAATTAGTAAGATGTAAAGTGTGTGATAGTTATGAGAGAATTTCATTACTAGATTTTAATGCCTATAAGCTCAAATTTACAACTGATTATTCACTGTTCTTTCAAAATGATTTTCGCTGTGCTCTCCTCACAAATATTCCCTATCGTTTATAGAGAGAGATGGTGAGGGGATATTTACCGAGTGTTCGCTCGGTTGGATTCGAAATAAGTGGCAAATGAATAGAGTATTAGTAACTGTTGAGTTGAGGAACTTAGATGTAAACTCAAATGTGTGTAGTAGGAATAGGTTTATCAATAATTAGTTTCTTGTCTCTTTTTGTTTTGGTTTTACAAAACAGTTTTATCGTTTACCTACACAGGTGGGCTCTGTTTTATCGCTCTCTTTCGTACAACTTTGCTCGAAATCAATCGAAATCAAATTGAGAGAAATCAACAACGTAAAATCATCTAAAAGTGTATCAAAATTGTACAAAACTCATTTGCTTCTTTACTTTATATTCTCTTCACTCTTCACTCTTTCCATTTCTCTTCACTTGTCTATGCGATTTTTATTTTCTTTTATTTTTTAAATAAAGTAATGTTTTTTATTGTTTGTGTTTTTTGTGTCTTTGCCTTTGTTCATGTGTTGCTTTTTGTTGGTTTTTCTTTCATTGCGAAATTAAAGTAATCCTTTTATTGTTTGTATTGTTGCGCTATATATTACCTATGCTGCACCCTAATCCTCCCATACACATACATACATACATATTGATATCTACACATACAATCATGTACTATCGTATCCTTTAATACTTATATACAAATCCTTCGTTTACGAGTTCTTCCTCCTCTGCACCCACAACGACTGTGGGTTTCCTTACTTCGAGTGAGAGACAATTGAGTGCGAGACCATCGAATGGGAGAGCATTGAATGCGATACGCCCGATATTTCCGCATAGGTATCCGTCGGTCCCTCGCCACTGCATACGGAGTCCTCGGGTGTACGGGATGGTTCCGCCTCGGTGATCTCGATGTCCTGATGATGCTTGTTGCTGCGGTGTTTGGCACTTAGAGCCTGCGGAATAACGATCTCTTAGTACGTTCTTTATAGTAAATACAAGTACGTAATTCTAGTTCGTTTCGTGTGCATTCTGGTTAGACATATGAAGTGCTATCTATGGACGGACACATGCACACAGAGTGGGGGTACGGGAAGGGCAGGACTGGGGTCTAGTTGAATAGACAAACGTGCGGCGGAGATTCCTTTTATTACTTTTTTATTTTTCGGTTAGTTTAGGTACAGTCACAACACAAATATGTATTTTGTTAGGTTAGGTTTACTTTAGAGAGAGGCTGACATTCTTACCTTATCCTTGCTGCCCTTTTTCTACATTGAACATGTTTGGTATTGGTTTTTAGTTGGTGGTAGTGGTGGGATTCGAATATACGAGTATTGAACATAGTCATGACAAGAACAATGATATATATATATTTATATATGTGTATTAATACAAGTCACATACAAGGGGGAGAAGATGAGAAATATAGAGTCAGAGAGAGAGACAGACAGAGAGATAGTGAGAGAAAGATCTAGGGATAGCTTGGGATAGGCGACAGCATTATAGGTTTCTGTTCGAAGTTCAGTATTCAGAAACAATTGATAGAAACAATCTGGGTTCCCTATACCCCGGTCCTTTATTTTTGATGATGTCATGTACAGTGAGCTCGCGATGACTACGACTACACTGTGGTGGACAGGTGACAGATGACGTGACCCCGTGATTCGGACTCACCTGCAATGAGAATCGACGATGACCCGCCTTGCGTCCACCGCGTCGTTTGCTGATGTGCGGATTGTCCTGTCTCAAGGTCTTGTTCTTCAGTATCTCAAGTTGTGTATACAGTCTGGAAAACATTGCGAATAAGTACAGACACATACAACAGAAGTACGATTACCTTTTGAGTTCAGCACGTATATCCTCGGGACTCATTTCGGATATGGTCAGCTCACCGATGTCGGGGTCACCAAGGCAAAGGCCCGCATAGCCACCGCCCAAACGCTGACCGGCATCGTGTGCAGCACCCTTGAAAGCATCCACAGGTAAACGTATTGATAGATCATACGCTAGCGAACGAACCTGCAAGCTATGAAGATGCAACAAACACCGCAAACCACACTCAGGAAGTAAAACGTAAACCGAACTCAAACCGAGAGAGCAAGTACACAAGTATAGAAAGAAGGAGAAAAGAAGACTCGAAACTCAAGATCAGATATCTGTGCAGGTTTATGTGTGATCGGAGTATGAGAATGACTGCTGGCTGAGTATAGTATGTGAATGTGAATGAGTGTTTGATGGAGTTGTCTGCGATCATTGGGTATGTGAGTGTGAGTGCTGTCTGAATAGGTGATATGTGAATGAGTGTTGGAGCGATGGACTTGTCTGCGATCATTGGTTATGATTTTGTCTGATGTTTTGCTGGAAATGAGATAAACAAAGTTCAAAGGAAATCAAAAACGGAATTCAAAACTTAACAAAGTTGGACTTCAGCTATAGTAGAAGACTAATTATTTAGACAGAGAGAGTTTTTAGGTTCAGAATATCTAGGTTGAGAGAGACAGCGAGCGAGCGAGAGAGAGAGGCAGAGCAGGTAACAGTTACAGTGAGGCGTGGCGAGGCGAGTGGAGGTAAGTATTCTGGGAAATGCTGGTATTTTGTAGGTATATATGCGTATTGGGGATTTTGAAAGGAAATCGATTTTTGTCATATTTTTTTAAATTGATTTTTTCTTGTTCAAACTCGTACAAAATACATGCAAAAACTAAACTAGACATGCAAAAAGTGTAGCGTGCAAATAAAGTTTAAGTGCAAGTCGAATCGAACTAAAGACAAAGTACAGTCAAACATTCGGGCGGGACAAAAACGACACACTTGCAGCAACTTCATAGCTTGACTAAAAATTTCATCGAAATGTTAGCTTAATACTAAAATTATGTTAATTTTTTGTTTACTCCAAACCAAAAATGAAAGAACTCCAGAACAAGAAACCAAAGAAAGACAATAACCGAAAGGAAATAATTCATTGTTTCAGCAAAAGCAACAAAGCTTTCGATACGTTTAGGTTTCACTTTTTTTAGTTGAACAAAAATCGTTTCCTCAGCAAATTTCAATATTATACCAAATACAACTATCGATGGCAACGATAAATGGCGACGATGACAGATGCAATAATACAACCCTGCCGGCGACGGACAAATCACAAAGCACAAAGCGCACAAGTGGGTGAGAGGGAGAGAGAGCGAATTCTAAGCCTGGACTTTGACGCCAACCACTGCCTACGCTCCTTTTATGAACCCAAATATTAATCTCAAACTGAAAAGTTTATTAAAATTAAAAGTTAAAAATAACTAGTAGACAAACCAAAGAGCTGCAATCAACTGAAGAGTGTCGAAAACGTTGGGTTACCTGCTTGTGCTGATACCACAATTTTGGCACAAATATCAGACCCAGGGCAAAGCTGTTTGTCAGCTGGGAGCGCACGAAGAGGGCCAACAGTATGGCGCTGGGACTCATTTCCGGTAGGTAGACAAAGCGCAGAAAGTAGAAGCTGGACGAGACAAGGAACTCGAGCGTGAGGGCGGTCACCAGAAATTGTCGTTCCTGTGCCAGGGGGAAAAGGAAATTACTTGTAAATGCATTTGACCCACTCTTCGGATCGAATCCACTTGGGGTCTTCGCATCTCACCCGGAACTGAGTGTTGGCATTGCGACTGGCTATGGAGAGGTGCAGGCCGAAGCACAGGATGAGTATTTCGCTGGCCTGCGTCACCAGCTCCCACTTGAGCGGATGGCAGGTGTTGGTGCTCGCCTCGCGTAGACTCTCCAGCTGGGCGCTCTCCAGCAGATCCAGCGACGAGGCCGTAAAGGCGGACATGTAGCACACCACCGCGAACACCATGGCGCCCAGATATTTGAGCAGATCTACGTCCCGCAGGACCCAGCGATGGGCCTTCCGTGTCCGAAAATCTACCAGGTGGCGGTACAGTTTCAGTATGATGGCGCCGTAGCAGGTGATGAATCCCAGTTCCCGCAGCCAGGGCTCCAGCAGGCAGCGCTCGGTGGAGGCGGGAAAGAAATGGACGGCAACCTGCAGAAGGTCTACTTAGTACTCGATAGACATGGACAAAAGGATCACTCACAGATGCATAAAGTAAAACAATTCCCAGCAGTATCGTCTCCAGCACAGTCCACATGCCCGAGGCAATGGCCTAAAAAAGTCACAACGTTAGAAAGTTACGCGTAAAGAATTCACCACAGAAAACGCACCTTGCTCTTCCTCTGTCTGAAAACAATCACACCCAGGACCACACAGCACAGGATACAGGCGCCCAGGACAATGGCCACAAGCAGACGCAGACAGGCATCCATATTGAGGGCCTCCTCCTCCTGAAAGTTGAGGCACACCCCATGCTGATCGCAGTTTGTGCAACCGCCCGGACACGGTATGCACGAGTAGTTGTCGTAGCCCTCGGACAGTTCCACTAAATCGCCGCGGAAGCCCTGCAGCGTCGAGTTTGGCAGATAGAAGGACTCCCGACAGAGACACGTGTACACATCCCTCGTGGCCGCCGGTTTGTTCTCCGTGAGAAGGCAGAAAGTAGTATTTCGATCACACCTGCAACGTATTAGCAATCCATCATATATATTTTCGAAGGAAGCTTCGAGCTTATAGCTCACCCGTGACGACGGCCAAACACCTCCTCCAGTCCATCGTTGCACACATCCTCATCGGCGGCAATAAAGGCAGCTGCCACAATTCTGAAATGGTTCAAATTGATTATGATGATTGTGTGCTCCTCATTTGGTTGGTAGGTATGCAACTGCCTTCCACTCACTTGATTCTATGCTCTGTGAATGATATGCGAAAGGGCCACAGCCAGCGGCGCGTCAACAGGTTGCAGTCGCGAAAAGGGGCGCCCCACTCCTGGGTACCGTCGCTGCTGTTCCAGGCGGCACTGCGAAAGGAACGGGAAAACAAATATTTATAGTACATATGGTTATTGGAAAGTATCCAAAAAGCAGATGGATGATGTGTGGGTTGTGTAAGTGGGGTTTTTTACAGCGTGGTCTGGATTCTTGGGCACAGAAGTTGGGATAAATAATTTGAATGAATAAATAATTGAATAATTATAGATAATACAAATTAAGAGAGTAACGAACTTAAAGAAACCAAGGCTCTTGCCAGAAAGGCATATCCATCGCTTTGCATGCCCTAAGCAAAGGATAATGTTTCACATGAGGCTAATTATCTGAAATATTCAACCAAGACTTCAAATGCCTTAGCAAATCTCTGTTGATTGTTCGTTGTATTAGCGATGCATCACGACGCATGTCATAGTGAAAATGGGTAAAATTAGAGCCGCGTCTAGCTCTACTAAATAGCTAAGCTATGAATACTTTATCATATATATTTGTAAGGTATTTAATAAATAAACCAATGTTTATGTTTATTTTTACTAAAAAGAATTCATAAAATCCTGTTAAAAATCATATATACATATGTACTATTTATATCAGTGTTATTGGGGCTTTCCAAAAACGAGAGCATACTTTTTGGGGCAGCATAAACCAATTTCAAGAATCCAATTACCAAGAGATTATTCAACTCACCCCAATTCCCGCCAGTAAGAGCCCAAAAACGCCTTATTATGCACCTGATCCGGCGGTATCTGCAACACACATCAACATCATTATCATTAATATCGCCCCCGCTGATTATGGCTGGATTGGCGTATGGTATGCATACCGTGACATTATCCCTGAATTTAACGACAACCGTGTGTATGCTCGGCGCGGCGATGGCAAAGGCCAGTAGGTTCTCGTCCTCGTTTAGGGCATAGCTGGCGATACTGTTGGCCCGACGGCTCACCTCCGCACGTGTCGGCTCATCGATGGCAATCGGAGTGTTGGCATTTGGGAATTTGTTCGATAGAAATTCAATAAACTGGCGTGCAGCATCCTCGGCAATGTCGGTAAAGTCGTAAAACTGCAAGCAACAACAAAATGAACAAGCTATTAATTGTTTGAGATGTTAAAGGCAAAATGAAATGTGTGCAAATTTATAAATAATTTAAATTCCTTCAAGAGATTCAACAGCATGCCTAAGGCTTGTTTGACACTTCATTAAAAATTCTACAGAATGAGAGTACATTTTTCCTGCTCTAGAAATGAAATTTTTGGCATTGGAATTTCGCAAAGGCTTATTTCTTTTAAGCAATTAGTCCATTGAAGCATCCGTACTGGCTTTGGCAACCTGTTAATGGTGCGAATACGAACCAAAAATTACGGATACGCCGAGGCTGAGGGAGCGTCGTGATTTGCCTGACCAGGCCATTTCCCTTGGCTTAGGACCCTGATCCCCTTGGCCATTAATTATTCACATGGCGGCCAGGACACGTTCCGCACAGACCAACACCTTCCTTCCGCATGGAATGCACAAAAGTTTTTGTTCCGTCCGGTAAATAATACGATTTAGGACCCAAGCTGGGGCTGGGGCTGGGGCTGGAGCTGGGACTGCACAAATGTTTTTAATCCATGTTTGTTCAGCTCTTAACTGACCAAATGTTTGTACATAATTTACACGTTTCAACCGGCTCTCGAGATCTACGCACAGGAAGCAGTGCCAAAAGGAATGGCAGGGAAGGGCAAAGGCAAAGGCAAGTCCAACTGGGCTTTGATGACATCATTATGGCTTTCGGAAACAAAAGTAACCACAGCAAAGACATGTTCAGAGGGGATGGGACTGCGACTGCCCGTCTGTGGGTCTGTGGGTGAGTCATGTAGCTCGACACGGCCGCCTTTTGGCTTTTAAAACCTACATTTGCCATTAGCAGGGCCACACAGCGAATACGCTTCAAAGCCCCAAATAAATTAACAACAAGAAACGAATGTATACAAATATTTTTGGGCGCTTGGGTATGCATTTGAGCATATCAAGGTAAGAGCAATAAGTATAAGGCACACGAAGACACGACTGGGAGAGAAAGCACCTTCTTGTGTGTGTCCTACACGGTAAGCATAATCGTAAACCTAAGGATACCTTAACCAACAAGATGTGTATATATGTACATATATTTAAGGCTTTTTGCAACATTGTCAGACATAGTTGGAGGGCATGCTACAGATCTTACATATGCACAATGTATATAGATGTCGGGGGTGGGCATTAGGGCTGTTGGGTTGTGTGCCGATCCAAACTGAGTTCTCTATTTTTGCACCAGCGTCTTTTTTCTCCTGCAATACTCACAGTCGTATTGTTCTCTCTCAGAAATTCCTTCTTGATCTTCCTACAGACGACTCTCTTTCACTCTCAGGCCACGCTCTCAGCAAATACGAATTGAAAGAATAACGGACTACTCTACTACGTCTTTGCCTATTGGTCCTCCTACTTGTACTTCTATAATAATTCCTGCTCAACGACTACAAATACGCTTTATAGTTTATAAATCTTCAACATATGTATATATTTATGTATCTAACCATCATCTAGCATTTGGATATATGTATGTAGTTCCACTTTTTTCTGAAAATTCTCCACAACTAAAGTTTCATTTAGTTTACGAATAATTAATGTCTGGGATTTTAGTTGCAACATTTTAAAATTGTATTACTTTTGTTGGACAGCTTATAGATGGCAGACCTTCCACTCTACACTTCTGAAACGGATATCTTATTTTCGCCATATGTATGTATAACTTCAGTGCTAAAAACAATATACATATTACACTATAACTATGACTATAAAATTTATTATACTATTAAATTTCAGACGTATGAATATCAGAACGTATGTATGTACATATTGCGATCCCTGTGTCAATCTCTCCTATAGGGAAATGTATATACCCCACCAAAAGGCATAGATAGGGTACCGCATAAATGTGTATGGAAAACACTTGTAAATAGCGGCAACCACAAAGCACAGAGCCGAGAGTGTGTGCAATAAAACATGCATACTCGTACATATGCAAACAAGAACATCCACATGGACATTGGTGTGCGTGCGTGTGAGTGTGTGTGCAACTATGCCAAGAGCTTAGACACACCGCAAACAGAAGCAGACGCGTACAGAGAGAGAGAGAGAGAGAGAGAGAGGGAGGGAGGGAGAGGCTGCCAAATGAAATCAGTAAGGCGCGTTATACTGACTTTTTAATGTCCATGCGAGAGCTCTCTCCGCATCTGCATCTTCCATCTCCTTCTCCTACGCTCCCCTACGTTCTCACTCTCTCTCGCACTGTGCACGTTTTGGCATGTACAAAATTCTTACTTATGACCATAAAAATATTTACATGGCACATGGTCGCACAGTAACGGTAGCTGTAGCTGTAGCTGTAACTGTAGCTGTATACACGGCCTCTGTGCTTTTTTCTCTCCCATGTTTCTCCTTTGCTCTGTGCTTTTGTCATTTGCATGTTTTTCCTCTTATTTTCTATGCTTTGTGCTTAATGAATAAAATATGTCCGACACTGTGTTTTTTTTTTTGTTTCTCTCCTCATGCGGGGTACTCGATGGGACACAAGGGTATATTGTATCCCAGTAATTGTATGCAACAGGCGTAACAGGAATGAGGCAGTAATTTCTACATAAAAGTAATATGTTCATTATTATTTGCTTATCATCCTTTTGCTCTCTTTTGTTCTTCAGTTGTGCCCTTTCTATTTCTGCTCTTCTTTCTAATTAAAGGGTATCTTCTAGTCGCAATAACAAACTTTTTTTGTATAGTTTTTACTTGTTTTTTCTGTGTTTTATTTTTTGCACTTTCCTCAGGCAGAACTGCCGTTGACACTCTCTGGGAATCTCACTCTGAAGTGCGATTAGCTGTCGGTAGCCAAGGCATTCGCATTCATTCATTCACTTGCATTCATTTCATTATTCAAAGTGACAGGGCGAATGGCATAAGCTGATTGCTACGGAAGTTTACTATACAGTGTTGTTTTGGTCCTGTTTTGTCTTGTTTAACACATAGGACACATCGAATTAACATAAATGATTCCATTAAATGGGAATTCATTACAATTCATTATGGATTAATATGTACTGTACCTATAGTATGGCTTGAAAGTACAATGACAGATCAGAAGTGAGCCAAACGTAATGATTAGTAATCGTACTATATTATTTATCTCTACTACATTTTTGGATACATCTTGGATACAGTACAATTGATGAAATCTACAAACAGATCTTTATAAGATTTGTTTCTAGCCAAATTTGACATCCTTCTCAATTTATCATTGCAACAAACATTTCTGAAACATCTGTCACTCAAGAATTTCGTACAATTTCTTTAACGGCAAAATCCACAGCATTGCCTACCATAAGGAAGTCTCAATTAATCCTGCAGTTATTATAAATATTAAAAGCTTTTTAAATTTTAAATCAACCTGAATTCCCCTGCATTGTTTTAAATCAGTTTCATATCAATTTCGGCTTCCGCCTGTGGCAATGGCAGCAGATTTTTGTTTTAAAGCCACAGCAAAGTGCGGATCCTGGCCAGAGCACCAGCCCATACAACCCATACAGAGAAGAATATATAAAAATACAATTATTAATAACTTTTATGCTTGAAAGTTGCCAATGGAAACAGCCCGTTCAGACAGACAATGAGAAGACACAACAAAAACACACACACAACAAAAGAGACCACAAGCCGAGACACGGCAGTCGGCAGCTGGCAGCATGGCCAGCAACAGTAAAGCACTGGCTAAACGAGACAGCATCTTCTTTGCAGCACAACCAAAGGACCAGGCACACAAACATTGAATTTAAGTAAATACGATATATCATTTAGACATTAAGAAGCAACGTAGTTAAGGAAATACATAGACTTAAAATAACATAACCAAATTTTTAAAAATATGTAATAAAAAGAAATTTGTATCAAATAATATATATGTAGGTATTTTGTAATATATAAAAATGGGAGAAGAATTCTCCATCGACGAAACAAACAATCAATTGAGTTATCCTCAATGTACGCCACAGCGAAACGGGATAGGGCCCGTTAGTATATACTATTTAGATTTGAGTTTAGCAGAACTTTTTATACCATAAATGTAGTTCATGAAAGCTACAAATTAGCGTGTGGCTACCTCGTTTGGGAAGTGCTGAAAAGCAGCAAAAAAGAATGGCATAAGTAGGAGCAGCAGCAACAACGAGAGAGCCACAATAATGCTTGACAGGCATTCGACATGGCGTTCGCCATTGACCGCAAGGCACAGAAAAGGAGAGGGAGACTGAGACTGAGAGTGTGAGAGAGCTGAATGAGAGGCAAACAAAAGCCAGGATGATGCCCGAGCACTGGCATCTGTCAGCAGCCTGCTCCTGCTGCTATTTTTTCATGTACGTCACATTTATTACTTTGTCCCGCCTGGCTACACTTGAGATTCAAATCGATCGCATCAGATAGCAGTTCCGAGGATGCTCCATGGCAATTTATTTACACATTTCGCCAGCCATTTGCTCGTTGTTTGTCTTTTAATTATGGCCACCCGACCAGTGGCGTCTCCGATTGCGTCAGCGGGAACTTGTTAGGGAATCGATCCGTGCATGCATGTATCGGACCTTGTTTACCCGCCGCCTGTGGCCCGCTTGAATATTTATAGGATTCGCGTAGTTGGCTAAAAATAGCAGTAAGCGAAGTAAATTACTGGCTGATGGACTGACTGACTGCCTGATGAGACATCAGCTCAGCTGTTGGCGGTTTAAAGTCGCCCTGTTTCCGTCTCCGACCTTCTTGGCTGCAATTGTCATGCAAATTCAATTAAAATATTGTGCTAGAAGGAGCCTGGGGTTCTGGCCCCGTCACTTCATTAGCATCTTTTAATTAACTTGTTCAAGAGTCTCCAGAAAGAGGAACAGGGTAAGGAGGGGGCACAAACTGTAGCACATACATGTATGCATGACATGCTGTCAGGACATGCCGCAACTCTTTCGAAAATCCCGCGGTTTTTGTGTAAAACCTGCAACCGGCACTCTCCTTCCACGTGTCACTGCTTGCTACCAAGCCAACTTTCCACAGAAATCTATTTGCGTCAGACATGGCGTATGCGTAATATTTTTTACGACACTCAACAAGGCAGGCGGAACGCACACACTCAGCGGAAAATGGGGTGGCCTGAAGCGGGTATGGGGAAGAGGATTTGAATTTCGTGAGCACAGATTTGCGTAAAGATTTGTGTCAGCACTCGGGGAGGACTGCAAAGGGGCAAAAGAATGAAAAAGTAAAAGTAGGTGGAGAGGGGGAACCAGCACACACTTTCTATGTGGGTTGCCATCTCAGCAGTTTTATTGATTATTGCCCAACTCTGCTGCACTCTGCCCCCTCAAAGTGAAAGCACATTCTCAACTGCCGCGATGGCAATTTCGAAAATTGTCGCTAATTGTCTTTGCCTTGGGGTCGCTGGGGTTGCAAGCTGCATTGGTTCCCACAAAGTGTCCGTCAAAAGTTATGAAAAGAAAAGCGCCAGCCAAGTCAAGGTGACTGAAAGTCGCTTCTTCTTGCCACTTAAGCTGGCCGTAAGATATTCAGTTGCCGAAATTCTACCATTTCCGTTTGAATTGCAATTTCTCTTGCCAGCTACTCTCTTTTCGAAAGCCTGAAGCTGTTTTTGTAGCATTCTCTTTGGCATGGGACCCAATCATACATGAAATACATCATTTTAATCATTTATTTAGATGAGTCACCTTTTTGCTTTCATCACTTATTGCAAAACAACGGAAAATCCGCATCGTTTACGCGCCATCAGCTTTTCCTTCAGATTTCGCAAAGATTCTGGACAGCATTTGAGTGCATTTTTAGAGAGCGCATTCGTCCATGCAAAACAACTGGCGACTCCACGCACTCGGTCGTCGCTTACTTTTTCTGCCATTACCTTCGAAACGCAGATAAAAACAGCACCAGACGGCGCCGCTAGAGTGAGAAAGAGAGTGACAGTGACAAAAGCTGAGGACGGGCGAAGGTAGAAGCAAGGCGAAAGCAAAAGCTGCGACGAAAGCATTGGCTGACTCAGACGCAGTGAGAGCGCCCAACTCTGTCACTTACAGTTAGACGCTATCAAAGTGCATTCATATTCAAGGTGAGGCATTTCCGCACTCCTTCTCCCTTTGTGTCACGTTGCTCCCTGCAAACAACTATGACTAACCTTTCAGAAACCTAAAAATCCCTATATTACACAGAGTCCTTTTCAAAGCTTTTAATATTTCATCATTTGAAAGTGTATTTTTTCTTTTTTTTGACAAACACTTACCGGCTCATCGGGCACCATTTCCAATACTTTTGGATCGCATTTCTCTTCTGGCTTTTTGCTGTTGCTGCTGCTGCTGCTGCTGGATGCTTCCGCTGCGGACTCTGCTGTTGTTATTGCTGCTGCTTCCGATGCAGTTGTTGTTGTGCTGGCAGTTGATAGCGTTGTTGGAAGGGGGCTTCGCTTACGCAAACGCTCTGCCCGAGTCAGAGCAGAGACAACGCTGACTGTGGGCGTTAGCTCATCAAAATCCACAGCGGAGGCATCGTGTAAATGGTACTCCTCCTGGGACTGTGACGGTCCCCCCTCGTAGGTAGCGACAGCGACAGCCCCGCGGGCGACACTCTGCTGCTGAAGGTGTGCGCGTTTATAGTAGGCCAAAAGAGCATCACGCCTGCTCTCGTAGGGGGAGGCAGTGGCTGAGTGGTGGGCGAGGCCAACTATTAAGAGCACCAGCAGCAAATAGAGCGTGTTTAATTGTGTGCAGCAATTGCTGCTGTTGTTGTTGCTGCTGTTGTTGGTGGTGTGGCTGCTGACGTTGCCGCTGGCGTTGACTTTGCTGCTTTTGATGATGATGCTGCTGCTGACGGCGCTGCTCCTGTTGGCGTCGCTTCTGCCGTTTGTTGATGTGGCTTTTGTTGTAGGTTTTGTTGTTCGTTGGTTTTGTTGTTGCTTTTTCAGGTGGTCTCGATCTCTTTGGTTGTTGTTGTTGCTGCTGCAGTCGCTGCTGCTTTTGATGCTGCTTTTGCTGTTGTTGCTTTTGCTCTTATGTGTTTGCCTTCCTTGAGTTTTCGTTTGATTTTGGTGGCATTTCTTTTGATAATTGTTGTCTTTGTTGCTTTGCTGCTGTCGCTGCTGCTGCTGCTCCTGCATTGAACTCTCAGCTGTTTCATTTTTTGACTTTTTCGACTTTTTTGCCTTTTTCTCTATGCACATTTCCATATCACTGATGTTGCTTTTGAATTTGAGTTTGTTTTGTTTGTCTTTCGCGTTGTTCTCGGAGTTTGGGGGGATGTTCGTCGTGGGCGTGGCAGCTTCTGCAGGTGTACAACGAAATTGTGGCACAGAAGCGCGCTCATCTGTATAATTGAGAAAAAGTTTCGTTTAGTTTTGGACAGAAAAGAAATCAATAAGTTAGGTACGCATATTTACACACTTTTAAATAAATGATTTATGTATGTTTGTAATTACTGTCGGCACATAAGTGCATATGTATGATTCGTGTAAGATTATTCATAATATATTCAGGTATTTCTTGAACCTTTGACATAGAAACCACTGTCCAACCGCCAGTCTGTATATCAGAAATGTAGAGCATCAACAAATAAGACAGAAACTACGCAATAGAGTTATCTATTTTTCCCTCAATTCGTATTTCTGCTGAGAGCGAGGCTTGAGAGCCGAAGAGAGTCGGCTCAGCCGAGTGTGGCGCGGTGATGTTGTTGAGAGAGAGTGGGAGATCAAAAGGGAAATGCTGAGAGAGCGATTGGATAATGCAATTCTGTGTCGGGTATGGCGTGATCTAAGAGAGGCGGGCACGAGGAGTTTATAAATAGATTTGAAGCGAGAAAGACTTAACCACGACTTACTGCACTCCAGGCACGACAAAATGCAAGAAGAAGAAGAGCACCCTGTCCCTCGATTTCTGACAGGGTAAGATTTGGTAGATCCATATAAATATTCAAATATTAATTGAATATTTCCTTCAAAATATCCAAAAATTATAACCTGAACTGTGGAATCCATTGCGTCCATTAAAAGGTCTGAGATTTGAATTTTGGCTATTTTAATATTTTTACTGTGTGGCTCTTGAAGATCTGATACATATATTATAGATATTCCACTGCATTTCTGCCTTGTGCCCCCTTCATCCTCTCTTTATGAGCGACTTTACTTGGTGTTTTTTGTTCAGATGGTATTAAGGTATTGCTTCTTTGTATTTCCAATTGTTACAGAGTGATTTACTTGAACGTCCCACAACAACTGTCGTCAAATGTTTGTCAGTTCAATATTTTTCGACTGCTATATGCACGATCAATTAGCTGTAACTGCATTCAGCAAACGAATTTATGTTGATTGCCTTTCCATCAAGTGCATTTCCCACTACGAGCAGACTCTCAGCCAGAAATAGAACCAGAAAATAGAACGTGAAATTCTATTTCCCAGAGCTCTGGCCAATTGGACAAATTTCATGGCAGCGCCAATTGGAATTTAATTGAGAAACCTTTTCAAATCGTTGTTGCTGCTCTTCGAGGTCCCTGATTGAAGGGAAATCGGTAGAGGATAGACGAACAACGGAGAAGTCGACCATAAAAGTACTCTTAAATATGCAGCTTAATAAAAGAGAGTGTAAGGCAGGATTTCGGTATAGTTTCATTATAGAGTCTAGACATTTAAATGAAGAAAAAATGCAAATCATTTATATTTAGAATACATTTTCGGTGAATGAGAATGAGCTTAACTCTTTAGAGAACTTTGGATGAACTTTATCGTATCTTTATAACATTTGCTTAATATGTGCCCAAAGTAAATGATATCATTTCAGGGTATTACTGATGCTACATTCTTTTTATTTCTCCTAGACATAGCCCTATATCCAGTTAAATCGGATGTAGAAAACCTCCACTATTATTATATGTACCACCTAGCATTATCTGCTAACGAATTTTCCTACTAACTCGTTAAGCATTGTTTCCTGATACTGCAATCAACTTGTGCGTGCGTGTCCGACTGTGGTGGCTTTTGATGTAATGTAATTAAACCACTTTAAATTATTCATTCCGCACAAATGTTGTATGCGATTTTCCCTCTTGTCCTAACCTTCACCATTTCCATTTCCATCCACCGACAGGGGGAAAAAAGAGCGGTCGCTTAGTCAGTTACGTGGACCCTGGGGACTGGGCGTGGCACTTGCCACGGCACTCAAGTGTCGCCTGGTGGTATGCTACAATTGTCTGTGGCTCTGAATCCGATTTATGAATAAGAAGAATAAGGATATGCAGGAGGGAGGGGTGGTGGTAAGGGAATATTCAGGGAAACCAGCCAGCCAAATACGTAGCCCATCAATGCGATGACAGGCCGCAAATTGGCCAAACCACTTCGACAAGTGCGACGTGCTGGAAGGCAAACAGGTGTAAAAACAATTTCCGCTAATTGAAATTAATTTTCATTGCAACTGCAAGCGGTGGAGGCTCCTGTTTTTTGTTTCTATTTTTGTGTTTTCCTTTTTTGGATTGGAGGACTGGGGGCCAGGCACAGTCGGAGACAGTTGGCACATGCGCCATAAACAAGTTGTGATTACGTGATTTGGCCAGATGCCAGGAGCAGCCGGCGGAGGGCAGGGGAGGGATACCTGGAAAACTATACTCTCGCATTGCCAAGAGATTTTCTTTTTTTTTTGTCGGAATACCTGGTACTCCTGGGGATATTTGGGTGTGCGTAGAGGCAAGCTTTGCTCTTTCTTTCTGAATGTCTATAGGGTACTATTCGCTTTCGATTGGGTAGGTTCTAAGCAGATTTCCTAGGAGAGTAGGATGAGGGGTCCAGAAAACGTAGCTTTGTTGGAACTGGATAAATACATGGATATTACGAGTACCATTATCGAACTATTGCCTATTCAGCGAGCCTTGAGATCTATGAACCATCTTAAAGGTTCGACTGAAGACAAATGTTCCCTTTTGGCGGGACATAACTACCACGAGGATTTTTAGAAGGTTTTGGTGCTGCCAGCAATTCCCTAGAGCACTGAGGAGAGTCTTGTCTCAATTAAATCCCTTCCCCACAAAGACGGCCTCTAAAAAAACATAAGAATCCGTTTAGAGGATGTCCCAACAGTCGTCTCTATCGATCTATGCCACCTCTTCTCAGTTAGTCTTCTGTTTGCGTTGCTGGCTGGCTGGCTGGCTGGCTGTTTTCTGCCTGGCTGAGCTCACCTGGCCTCACCTTGACACTCCGCTCAACTGCAGCTAATGCGGCAAGGATGCGAGGATGCATGTACCAGTACATCGCTGTATCTGTATCGCTGTGTCTGTATCTATGCATGCACATGTATGAAGAGGGTCTACATACAGTTTTTCAATTAACCAGATTTCGGTTGCCATTCTGTGTCATGTTCTGCTGTCTTGTCGTTTGTCTGTTTGCTGCCTGCCACCTGCCACCTGCCTGGTCTGTCCTGTTCTGTCCTGGTCTGGCCACGTTGCAAGTTTGCCAGTTGCCGGTTGCAACATAATTGCACAGTTTGTTTGCGGCCAAATCCCAAATCGTTTGCACTTTCCCAGAGCTTTACATTTCAATTCCGAGTTTGATTTGTTGAGGTCTATCGCTGTGACATCTCAAACATGCAAATTTCCATGGGCAAACAACAGCAGAGCCAGAGCCGGAGCCGGAGCCAGTGCCAGGGGCAGATGCACAGCCGGAGAGATATTTCAATAGATGAATATTCATGCTTTTCGGTCAATTATTTTATGTTTTCGTTTGCGGAGAAAATCCAACAACATTCTATTAGTAAATCGACAAAACAAATTGGGTGAGAATTATCGCACAATGAAAATGAAACACTTGAAGTAGGATTTCATTTGGAGGGTTTCGTTTCTGTGAATGTGTGTATTCAGACATTCATAATGAAATCCTTGAGAAAATCAGTCAAATATCATAGAAATAAGATTAACCAATTAGTTTTCGACACTCTTTGTGTTTTTTGAAGTGTATTTCTATGAAACTGTCCCCCAATGCGGGCTTAGACTTATAAATTATGTTGCTTATTAACAATGGTAATAGTATCATAAATAATACGTGTGCTTCGTACCACAAAGTGGCGTTAAACAACTCAATAAATTATGGTTTTAATTATTATTTAATTTTCAAAATGTTATTGCTTGCCACTTTATAAACTTTCACACAGGAAATATTTTTGGCTAATTTGTTACCAAGAAAAATATCAATTAAAGGCAATAAATGTGAGATCCACAGAGAGCAGACTCTTTTCGTGCTGTAGAGTTAACAGAGCAACTAACAGAGAGAGAGAGAGAGTAAGAGAGAGAAGCGGCCGTCGAACAAAGAGAGGGAAGAACAGCGATCGACGCTAAATATTCGGGTCCAAAGTCTCTCTCGAGCCAACGCGCAATTATTTGTTCTTAATAACATTAAAGTTAAAGCATAGCGAAATATAAATTTAAATATAAGAAAACCTGACGTCCTAGATTAGTGTGCAACAACGAAAAACCCGAGGCCACATTTTTAGAAATATTTTATTATTCAGCTGAAATATGTAAATATTCCAGCAGAACACACACGCACACACATGTACATACATGCACACATGTTTGCATCGGTCTTAGTTGTGGCTCATCAATTTGAGTGAAGATGAAGCTCGAGGCGTGTCCGGACATGAAATGTCTTGTGGCCGGCTCAACATTTGCCCTTAGCGCAAAATAATGAGCTAAAAATAGACAAAAAGCCAGACGGAGCGAAGGAGAATGAAGGGGTGAAGAGTGTAGAGAGACTAGGGAGTGGGGTGGGGTGGCCCGAGAGAGGGCGGCATATGAATGGCAGAAACACAGAAAGACAAGAAAGACCTGCCTCGCAGAGAGCTTTTCATTAGACAAATGTTATTTCGCACACGCACAGGAAGGGAGACAATGCGGGGGCGTGAAACAATCAAACAATGCAACAAAGGCACACACACAAACACACACACACACACACATTGAGAGAAACGGTTAACAATTAAACAATGGGAGAGCAACAAGCAAAGCAATTGCAAGAGCAGCAGAAACAGAAACAGAGCGAGAGAGAGGACTCGAGTGAGTGCCGCTGACAACGTCGAGGACAAATTGTTCGCCGGTCGCATTCGCATTCGCATTCCTTTGTCCTGTTTTGCTTAAATAAGCTCAAGCAGCTGTGCTTTGCCTCAGTCCCACGCCCCCTGGCAACCGGCCTCCAGCCCCTTGGCCTTCCTTTCCACCGAAAAGCCAACAAATCAGACAACAACGTTTGAAATCGCTTTCCCCTGAGCCTTTGTCAGGCATTTCCAGCTAAAAGCTTCGAGTGCCAGTCCCAAAACACTTTTCCAATTAGGCTT